GCGTACGACGTGAAACTCGGAATTCTGCTGGCCAGAGACCGCCTAAATCTGATGTGTAATTTACCATGAACCTCAGTTATCTAAAATTACTCGACAATCAATGTTTGATTTTTGCTCCAAGCCATGGCACTTATTTCATGCATTTATGCAACGTTGAACTAAACCGCCGGTTTCAACCTCATGAGCTGTTCTGAGGCTCGCTGTTCGTGCCTCATTCTTACAAGGAATACGATCAGATGGGTATGTTGAAGTATGTTGAAGACCTCAATACTTACGTTGTTGCGCTGCCGTCAAACAACACCACAACCTCCCGTAGTAAGAATTCAAATATATACTCTCTTGCGAGTCGATATTGATGCACTTACTCTACAACACGATGACCATCAACGGACCAATAGCGGCAGACATTGAAGAGAAGAAAAGTGTACGCCTACAGCGGATCCTCGACCAACCTGGCTTCGATTTCTCAGCGGACCAAGAACGACCCCAGATCTCACAAAAGAACCATCCCTGGAATCGAAAATCGGCTCGCGAGGCCGACCACTCTTATGAGAGAACCCGCGAGAACCACAGATGCCAAACTCGTGCTCTCTTTGATCCCGGCCACCGATTCCAGACGACGGCTCCACACCACAACCAGACGAAACTTCAAACATGAAAAAAGTCCAAGTGATAAGTAAATCCCAAGCTAGCCTGTCCTTGAACTCAACCAACAGATTTGCAACGCCACATGAGACGAAAGTGTCACTCCCTCGATGGGCATGTGTGTGGGTGCCCTTTGGAATACCCCTATGGCTGTGGGCATGTACCTGGTAGTCTTTTTCCAGCCGTTCAAGAGAAAATGATTATCTTTTCATCGGACTGTTGAGGTCCTGATGGTTTGATTTCAACTGCGACTATCTTGAGTTAAGCTTCCAAACCCCAAGTGTTAATAGATCACAGATAGATCACAGATAACAAAGTCGTTGATCAATCATTAGTTCCAAACTCCCACCATCATCTTCGTCAACTCTATCGTCTACCGGTTCCACTGGCTCTTTGAGGACATAATCCGCTCAGGATGTAACCTGGCCGAGGGTCATTGGAGATTCAAAGTCTGATTGACTTTTGCCCGGCAGATCCTACATTTACCAGTAAGAGGTAGACAGCAGTGGCTTCACATGGACATCCAAACCATCACCGAAGCCTTCTTTTCCCCCTTTTAGCTGGGCTGTTAACAATAACCGCTCCTCATACCCGATGGAAAATCTTGGCAATCTGCGGGAAACGGAGCAAAAGGCTCTACCTACTTGGCTGCAACATCCACTGATGGGACGCGCGCCGTGCGGCCGGAGCAAGGTACCGTCGCCCGCTAAGCGCGCCCGCCCCGGGGCCCCGGGGGAAGATTACAACCAACCAGTGCTAACACAGAATACAACATCGACGCGTCAACGTTGTCTGCCTACCTTACTTTATTAAAGTTGGCATTCACCTGCCGTCCACTTCCCAATACCACGACCCGAGATCGGCCTAGAAACCGACCGTCGAGTCACCACTCTCAGCATATAGCGAAAACCCGAGATTCCTACAAAGATGATCCCAGGACAATCCTCACCACCTCACCACCTCACAAAGAGAAGAGAGCCATTCGAGAAGCCTCATTGGCAGATGTACCAGAAACTCAAAAAGGGCTCACATCTGTCCTTCTGATATCACACTGCTTTCCTTTCCCCTCTCCTTTCCTCTCTCGAGTCTCGCAAAACCATCCCCGCAATTTCGAAAGAGTCAGCTTCACATGACAGAGTCCTCCTGTACCTCATCACAGTGGTAATCCCACACACACACACACATACACACACCCATCCAAGACGCTACTTCTCAACTAGCTCCTGTTCCGAAACTCATTTTTAGAGTTTGCGGTTTGGAAGGTACGGGTTTTCCAGGCTTTACCAGGCTTGCAAGCCAATCCAATATGGGTTTTCCGTACATGTACGTATTACTCCATTTAACCCGTTCTTGATGTAGACGAGAAGAGGACCTTGGCGAGTGAACATGTAGGCCGCTATTTTAGAAGCCCCCCGAACCATCTGGGGATAAAAGTGCAGTTCATCGCAGATTGCCGAGTCAAGGAGGCTCCGTGACTGATGGCAGGCGAGGTTGCAGCTAGAAGATGATTTGGCGAGATGCAACTGACTACCTAAGCTCGTCAAGATATCAGGCCAGCACAAACCAGCATACTCACATCATTGATACTCAGCTACTTATAGGAACGAAATAGCCTGCTCTCCTAATTGCTGCAGAAGCTGGTATCGCTAACACCATTGCAAATGCGACGGACTAATATTGCGATGTCTCCTTCAACAGTCAGAAGTGGCATTATCCGGTGCATCGCCTGAGCGCAATGGCCGGGTAGCCGGTGAGGGATGGAAATAAGAAAAGAATACGACTGCCTACCTAGTAGGTCCCCCCCAAAAAGAATCAGAGACGCGAGTCAAGGGAGGAGGTTATCGCTTGTTGATCTATTACATCTACGCCCTGTCGGGTACCATAGACGAAAGCAACCTTAGTAGACCTAAAAATGTGAAGCAAACTCGTTCTGCGCGAACAAATGCGAGTTTGCAGACGACTGCTGGTGCCTCAACGTCCAGTCGGGTCGCAAATAACCGCAAGGAGCTATTGCTAGGCCCTTCGGTTTCCCTGGCCTACTGAATTCTTGGGCGCCGGGGCCATGCGTTTGCGGACCAATTAGCCCGGTAGCGAAGGAGTTGGACGACACATAGAGTGCATACTTGTTGTATGCACGTAGCCACTGATTCAAAGGCTCAAGCCCTTGGAGGTCCCCAAAACCCGGGGAATGTACTCGAAGAGTGCAACGAAGGGAGGGAAATTGCTTCTTTGCAGTCTGTAGTCTGCACTCTGCAGCCTGTGCGACTCCTGATCATTAGACGAGACAGCTACACGGCCGAGTGAGCAGTCAGGTGCCCGTCAGCTTGGCTTCGAGAAGCCCTAACGATATGCCAATTCATGTGGTCTGAGACTTAGCTGGGGCCCGAGGCGCCAGTCTCACCCATCCGCGCCAGTCCTGCCTGCCGACGGATGTACCAGGAGGATACGATGCTGCTATACGTGTCCTGATGAGGGAGAACATGCATTCACGAACCTGGTGGAATTGCAAAAGCCCCCTGATGATTCGTCGCAACAACATGCGGTTGAGACATGCCGAACCCTGCTAGTCTTCATGCCGATGAGGACGCAAGTCACTGCTAGGAGAAGGAACACACCAACTGAGGCTAGCATCGAGACTAATGTTCTCTACGGATATGATGTACATGGAGCGAAACTTTTTGTGCCCGACGTATCTTTGTATGGTCGTTGATGCATCGTAGGTACGACTATGACCGCAGGTAGGGGTAAGCGGATGCTTGTCTCGAGCAATCGCCGAGGAAGGCTCTTTTGACAAACGGCATGAGATATGGATGTGGTGAGATAGGTCCCAGCTTTGCGTCCGTGTGTTGACCTGCACGAACGACAAGGAACGGTGCCAAGGGCCCATCGGCTTGAGAAGACGAGGTCTAAAGAGCTGCGCCGGAGATTGCTAGTGTGAGCTGAATCATGCCCCAACTTGAGCCGCGGGAGCAAGCAACGGCAGACTGAGGTATCGATTGGCGGGCGATATTTGATGCCCATTATCGACCGATACCTGCAGGGTAATTAGCATAGGAAGACTCCCGCCCAGCATGCCACTGCTCGCGAGTAGGAATGAAGGCGGAAAAGGGAGTCATTTGAAGTCAGCACCAATCCAAGCCCGCAGCATCTCAGAGTGCGGCCGGGCCACATGGCGCGTTGAGGCAGTGACCAGTGAGAGAGAAGGGCGAGAAAATCCAGAGATCTAACTCTTCCCACACCTCGATCCACGGTAGCAGTGGGAACTCTCCTTCATGCGACCACCCCCTTCCACCCTGGTCCGATGATTTAATTTCTCAGGAAAGGAAAAAAAAAAAAACTGTCAAGCCAGTGATGTGCCCAATGAGCGTCAGTCGGCATGCGACGGAGACCCGAAATTCACTGTCATGCGAGTCGTGCTGGGTGCTGTGCAAATGCTCCAAGCCAGACAGCTTCGGCCATCTGGGTAAAGGTGAAGTTGAGCGATCCAAATAGGATTGAATCCGTGACATGCCCCGATCACCATTCTTAGCGCGCGAGTGCGCGTATTGCTCTCTCAGTCCTTTCGAAATTCTGAAGACCATCACTGCCTGAGCATCGCTCGGGCAGTCAGCCGACAGGGTGGACGCAGCGCAACGGCAGACGATGCCCAAAACCCGAGGCTTCGGCTCCTTCTTGAACCTCACAGCCGTCCGCTCCGGACAAGGAGACGCGTTCCTCAGCTGCCGGAGTGCCAGCGTGTCAACAAGGCGCGGAGACAGCACTGTGAACCAGATTTCGTAAAGGAGGGGCCGGTCTGGCCGCTGGGGCTTTCGGAGTTGACGACTGCGGTATCCGTAGCCAAACAATTAATCAATGCCTCTGCCAACGTCACCCGCAATCCAGGGGTGACCTGTTCAGGAGATGGGCAACACGTAAAGTGAGGTGCAAGTGCCGTGCAACGTCCACGCTGCTATTCGACCATCTCCCGAACGAGAGTACCGCGGAAGGCAAGGCAACCATGACTTGCCGGTAGGGGAGCTTTTTGACGTGTCTTTTCCGTGGTCAAGGTTGGCCGGTCGGTCAGGGGTTCTTTTCGGATCCGGCATCTTCGGTGGCGGCCTTGCTAGCGGTGGTGAAGATTTGGGAAGAAAGAATTATAGGCCACGAATTGCAGATTCACCGTCTATGGGCAGAATGCTCCGCCGCGTTACTCGTTGATTGTGTGGCTGGAAGTCGTTCTCAAGCGTGTAGAACTGAAGATCGACTTCCGTATAGGGGCGCTCGTGCGGCAGCCGCACAGACTGAAGAAGCTCGAGTGCTCTGCACTGTTGCAGGAGCGAATGGCGAGCTCAGAGCGAGGACTGTCCTTGGATCGGAGCCGAAACTGACACCATCAAACTGTTTCGAAACATGGTGCGCGCACAATCGATTAGCAAAGTAAGGCACGAAGATAGGTGCGGCAAAGGTTAATATCACGACATGTCACGCTGGCTCTAGCACAAGTCGGGTGCAAGTCGACAGTGGTCCTTGAAGGCTTACGTCGGCCAGCATATGGAGAAGTCGTAGAGGAGGTTCGCGTGGAGGAAGCCAGCGACGGGGGGGGGGGAAACAAATGAAAGGAGACCAATGTCTTAAATGCAACTCGCTCTATGGTGTTTGTCGCATCCGCCATTTCGTCGTTCGTGCTCGTCCAGCGGGCAGCGGCTGATTAGGTAGAGACATGCGAGCGGGAAGGGCCCGATCGACGAGCAGCATCTGGAATGAGGGACTGAGCCGGCGCATTCCAAGCGAACCATTACCGGGCAGATATTGCTTAGGTCCGGCTGGATGCGGTGCGAATCGCGAGGGCATTCGCATGGCGGAGACCAGAGAAGCAAGCAGCGTTTGCTGAGATAATCGCCATAGCCGTGAGAGAAGTACGGCTCGCATTCTTATTGCTGAGGCTGGCGTGGTTGGGGCCTCCGACAATCGTGAAGGTGGAGAGGGGATATGTCTGGGTTGTGGCTGATGAGGTGAATGCACCAAAGTGGCTGCGTTTGAGGAGGTTGATCGATGTGTCTCTATCTGCTGGAAATGGATCATTTCGTGCAGATTGTTGCATGTTGCGCAAATATTCGATCGAATAATCGACTGCCGTGTGGAAGTATGATATTGAGGTTGGTTCCTTCCTCCTAGGACGTAAGGTGAGGCATCGGGGATAAGGCGACACCTGGCTGCAGGGTCAAGGCAAGAGCCCCCTCCCCAATCCGGCGGCCCCCCCTGCTCCTCCCTTTTTCGTGACGCCATTTCGCGTCTTGATCCGGTACGTACTGGGACTCGCGCTGTGAGCACCCCTCCAGCTAAGGCAAGGTAAGGCAGGCGAGACGAGGCGTCAACGTAGGGCAACTGCGTTTTCCGCTTAGCGTGTCTCTCCCGCCCCCGTATGATCTGCCCGGAGGATTGCCCTACCTCGCCCTAATGAGGCCTAAGGTACCGTCGTTTTGGTGCAAGATCGCAGATTGGCTATAGCCGCGGCAAGCATCAAAAGTGACTGAATGTCTTTCTTTGGTCGTTTGGCTTTGGGACGATCTGCACCTTACGTTTCTAGCATTTGGGGGAAAAAAGATATAGAAATGCTTGGAAGTAGGGACAGGTCCACGAAAGAGACCGGACGGAGTCACGGAGTCAAAAAGGATGCAAAATATGGAGCCCATGAGCAGCAACAAGGTTTTCAGGCAGACGGGGGGACGCGAGGGCAGGAGCCGGGATGCCTTTCCTGTCAGGGCAAGTCCACGTTGACGCCGCCAGTGACCAGTCTGAGCCTCCGAGGTTGAGTGACTGCTGCCCGTAGTCCCGGACATTGCCTTTCCGTACAATTGCAAGTTGCAAGGTGCAAAGAACCTAGGCAAGCTGGACCGAATTGGATTGTGACACTCTTCATTCGTTCTCTTCCCGGGACAGGGTAAAAAAAAGGACAGGGCACGCGCCAATTCGTTATCAATTGGGCATGAACGGACGGAAAGAGTTTAAACATCTGCCTACCTTTTGCATCGGCACATCGGATTGAACGTTAACCTGCCAGGTAGAAGAGAGCACAGGAAGCGCAAGTTCCTTCCTAGAGTAAAAGTGCTCCGCCGTGAGGAAGGTTGTCTTTTGCTGCGAGGATTGTCAGCTGCACCTGCATCTGCCTTGTACTCCGTACCTGTCGGCTTCCTTCCAGGTCCTTTCGTTCCTTCCCACACACACGACAACGCCATTTCTCATTCGTTAATCTGGCCTTGGAGTCCCGAGGTGGGTGCCCCAGGCCAACCTTGCCCTGAATGAGCTTACTTACCATGAATTGTCATCGAGAAGGTAGGTACTTTATATCCAATGTTCTAGAGTCGACTAAGGTACCTAAGGAAATCTGGGCAAATAGACAAAAAAGAGTACGTTGGGGCGCCTCGTGCTGTTTCCGTTGAAGCACGTACCTGATCTGAGAAACGCGATGCCAGTCCGCCTGTTGCCGGCGTTTTATTAGAGCTTGCTGGTGGCAGCCACGGCTCTCCCAGCTCCAACGCACGGCATCAGCACCGACACCGGACCCACTCCAACCCTTCCATCCATGGAGACCTGTCCACCTTTGCTGCTTCGTTGATTTGGAGTCTTTGCTGCGGCTGACTTGGGTTGACCCGGTGCGCTTGCTTGAGATGCACCCGGCTAGTACACACGTAGTAAAGTGCGGCTTAAGGTGAGGTAGGTACGTAAGGAAACAGGCTCGCCTGCTGATGCTCCACCTGCCTGCCCTCAACTTTCAAGGCACCTCAACCTCGACTCCATACCTTCCATCCTTACTTTTGGGAAAGGTACTTGCTCCCACCGGTACCTTATGGAAGTAGAGTCTAAGCTAAGAGGTACCTTGGCCTGCTTGTGCCGAAGAGCTGGGGAGGCACGCAAAGCACCACTCGCACACCCATACCTATCTACCTTTGCTGCCTTACCTTACCTTAGTACCGGGCACATTACTTGCCGTCCTCAGCAACACCGCCATAGACACGTAAAAACGATACGGAAGAAACGGGAGAAACAGGCACTGAGAGAATAAGTAGACAGATGCGTTAGAAGGAAGGTACCTGCAAATGCCTCCAAGCACCATCTTCCGCCCTCACCCTCTCCTAGGTACCTTGCCTCAAGGTACCTTGCCTTCGCCCACCCTAAGGGCCCAAGGTTCCTTCCACACCCACACACGTATACACATACAAGTAGGTACGCACACACAACCTTAGGTTCTCGCGCACACACGCACACACTCAATAACCAGGAAGGTACCTGTCTGTCTTCCTTCCACCTCGCACACCCCCTCACCCCTAGAGTTCAGGTCGCGCCTTCCCTTTCCTCCTCGCCCAAAATCCACATTCTAGGTACCTCCTGAGCCTGCGCCTGCGCCTGCGTCTTACATCGCCAGTGCGTGAGGAAGGTACCTACCCCGTCTGGCGTCTTGGTCTCGCAGTCTCGCGCTCTTCCTTTTCCTTCCACTTTCCTTCCCTTAGTTCCTTCTTCTTCCCATTCCCCCTCTACCCTCATCATCGTCCACTTCTCCTTCTTCCTCTTTCTTTAGAGTTGCACCTCTCTCTGCCTCTTCTGTCGTATCTCTGTCTGCTCTCTGCGATCTGCTCTGCTCCTCTGCGTTGCTCTGCGGGTTTTGCTCAAAAATCGAAGCATCCTTTTCAGCGATTGTCTTGGTTGTTGTTGCAAAAGAAATCCGTGCTGCTCCAGCTGCCGCGTTTTTTGTCCACCTCACGTCACCACTGACTAGAGCGAGATCCACGGCCTTCACCAGCTGCGAAAAAAATTCTCTGCGCGCAACTTCCTTGTCCGGTTCCTCCCACGTCGTTTAACCCCCCCATTCTCAAATTCCTCCCTCGACACGAAAATTACTCTGTAATTCTTCCTCCTCACCACCCTCACTCACCCTCCTTACGAGTCGCACGACGTTTCTTCCTGCTCATCCGGAAAAAGAGTCTTTTTGTTGGCGCCCAAAAGTAAGTAATCAATGCTCTCTCTCTACCTCACTATCCTCTCTATCTGCCCATATTCCCCCTCCTCTCCGTCGCATTCTCGCAGTCGCATCCGCAGCCGCAGCCACCGTCGCAAATCGTACACTCGTGTCCGACCATCCGGCCTTCGGCATCCTCGGCAATCCTCTGCTGAGGACCTCGACGTCGCCCGCCTCGAATTGGCCGCCCGAGCAACTCTGGAGGATGGTAGTCGGAGAAAAAATGGGATTGCAGTTCTGGGCGCATCATCGAACCCCTCCATGCATCGTGGATCATCCCGGATCGCGGTTGGAGATCGACAACCAAATGCCGAAGCCATTCAGCCTCGACGTGTCTTGCAACGAGTCGTCGCCGTCAGACGCCCGAGGAAGCGCAATATGCACCATCAGCAACCACAGCAACGCCTTTCCTCACCCCCGCACCCGAAAAGTCCGCAAGTCTCGTCTTACGTTGCTTGCGGCGCCGCGTCCCGCAGCTCCTCCCAGCCTCTGGGAAAGGAACAACGGGTTTCTTTCAAGCCTGTGCAATGGCGTCTAGACAAATGGTACGCCGTTTCGTCCTGAAGCTCAATGCCTCGTGGGTATGCTGCAATATACTGGAGAGGATCAAAGACCGGATCCGCAGAGGATTGCATACCGAGGACAGGAAGTAGTACCCAGCCAGATGGCAGCGTCTAGTCTTGTGTCACCCAAGGCCTCCTTTGGTAGCTGAGAAGATTACATGTCTTGCCAAAGGCAGACGGTCAGATTACCTCCTGCGTCAACTCGCAGCTCCTCGACAACCATGCACCCCTAGGCCTGCTACACTACGACCGCAAGGGAGTTTGCGACTGAAGGGCTTGCAGGGTCTCTATAAACCACATGACTTCAACTACCCGTTTACGAATGATTGTCTGGGACGTCATTGCTGCCCTACGAGTTCACACCACATTGGACGCACGCCGCTCTTTGCTAGGATCTCGACTCGCAATCACGACAATACCTCTGGATAAAGCTATTGGATCAACAACTGCGGAGTGACTGCGATTGCGACTATACACGGCGTGTTGACGGGATACCTTGTGTGCATCTGAAAGCTAACCCTCGCTAGGTCCAATCATTTCGGATTCTTCCTCTGACCTTTTCTCGACCCGTTCAAAGTTCACGTTGGCCAAGGCAAAACAGACCTAAAAGTCGAATTTGAAGCATTGCTCGGTTATTTGAGTCGGCGGCTACAGCATTTTTGCACGAACATCCCGCGACATCTCGATTTTTCGTTTTCACAACGGGGCGTGCAGGCGTCAGAGAGAATCGACTTTTTACCAAGTTCCTTTCGGAGTACAGGTTTTGCGTCTGAATACAGGTCGTTCTGATTCGATTCTCGAAACCATCAGCCATTTTTGAAAGCGGACAGCTACAGTTCTGAACTTCTCACTACTACTCAACACCAAAATGGACGGAATCAACCCCTACAACCCCGCTCAGGGTAACGGTGCCCCCCCTCCCAACGCTAACGGTGACGGCTTCGGTACCCCCGTCTCTGGTGGTATGCCCTTCCCCGGCAACAACGGTTCCGGAGAGATTCCGGGCGGCCAGGCCCCTATCCAGCAAGACGCGAATAAGAACACTCTCTGGTGAGTGAAAACTCTTGATATTTTGTGCGGCTTCGACTGACATACATAGGATGGGCGAGCTCGAGCCCTGGATGGATGAGAACTTCATCAAGGGTGTCTTCTTGACCGCCACCGGAGAGCCCGTCAACGTCAAGGTCATCCGTGACAAGACTTCGGGCAATGCCGGATACTGCTTCGTCGAGTTCACCTCGTCCGAGGCTGCCAGCAAGGCCCTCACCCTGAATGGATCCCCCGTTCCCAACTCCAACCGTGCCTTCAAGCTCAACTGGGCTTCCGGTGGTGGCATCAACGACCGTCGCGACGATCGCGGTCCCGAGTACTCGATCTTCGTTGGCGACCTTGGCCCTGAGGTCAACGAATACGTTCTCGTGTCTCTCTTCCAGGCGCGATTTCCCTCCTGCAAGTCTGCTAAGATCATGACCGATGCCATGTCGGGACAGTCGCGTGGCTACGGATTTGTCCGTTTCACCGACGAGCAGGACCAACAGCGTGCTCTTGTGGAGATGCAGGGAGTCTACTGCGGCAACCGCCCCATGCGTATCTCCACCGCCACCCCCAAGAACAGGTGAGTCGGCACACCTTGCAAGTTTGAGTCAATGAGACTAATCAAAGCAGAAGCAACCACGGTGGCCCTTACCAGCAGCACCATGGTAACCAGATGATGGCCCCCGGCCTGCCTCCTCACCAGCAGGGATTCTACGGCGTTCCCTCGCCTGCCCAGTACGGCAATGCTTACGGAGCTCCCTACAACCCTCCTGGTCAGCAGATGAACCAGTTCACCGACCCCAACAACACGACCGTCTTCGTTGGTGGCCTGTCTGGCTACGTTACCGAGGATGAGCTCCGAAGCTTCTTCCAAGGATTCGGCGAGATTACCTACGTCAAGATTCCTCCTGGAAAGGGCTGCGGCTTTGTCCAGTTCGTCCACCGCCACGCTGCCGAAATGGCCATCAATCAGATGCAGGGATATCCTATTGGAAACTCCCGTGTCCGTCTGAGCTGGGGCCGCAGCCAAAACAACTCTGGTGTTGGTACCCCCTACCGTCCTGCCCCTCCCCCACCTCATTACTTCGCTCCGGCTCCCGGCCCTGGCGCCTACGGACCCGCTCACTTCGGTGCTCCGGGTCCTCATGGCCCTCCGGGACCTCAGGGCCCTCCTGGTGCCCCTCCTCAGGTAAGCATCCATGGGTCATGTGTCAGAACACACCTGGGCTAACATCCTTTGTAGTAGATCGAAGGTCTTAAGGGCCTCATGGACGGCCCCCTTGCCCTTGGGCTCAAGTTGAGCACCTGAGGAAAATCGAGAGTTGCGCTCTCTACTGTCTTATTGCTTCACCCTTTCTCGAGCTTGTCTCATCGTTCTTCGTTCGCTGCCGCCGCCTTGGACTCTTAACGCTGCACGATGGATACCTGGGCGAATGACACATATTTCTTTGGACTTGTTTGATGTTAGGCATACGGATAGCGGATACGATTGTGAGACATCACGAGAACGACGATTGCATGCTTTGCGGCCCTAGTTACTTCTCTGGACATCTGGGCTTGTCTTGGGCGTCGGGTTCGGATGGTTCTGCGACTTGATTGCCCCTTCTATTCGTCTTACTTCCACACGGGACTCCCCCAACAGAGATTTCCTAGCTTTTAGTTTGCTTTTTCGCCACGTTGTTGACTTGTTCGTGACCGTTCTGCGTGTGAACCAATCCTGTTGTTTGCTTTGCTAGTTGGTCGGTCATTGGTCTGCAGTTGCGATACCCCTCTGTCATTCACGAATTCGCTGCGGCTTGTAATACTAAAGGGGTCATGTGTTCTCACCTTATATCATGGTATATTCGAACTGTTGTCTGTCTCCCTGGATAGGAGGGTCTCGCTGGCGCTATTCGATTGTGGTTGGCGTAGAATCTTGACCATCATTTGGTCTGGGACTTGGAAGTGCGCCTTGGACGGTGGGCCAAAAGTAGATTGATTGGTGTGGTTTATCCAGTGGCTTCCCACATTGGGCGAACGGTGTTGGTGGATGGATAGGGAGAATGCTAAGCTGGGCACAGAAGGGCCTACGGGTGAAATCAAGTTTGTCAAGACTTCAAACCTAGTCCTTTTGCCCCGACATCTCGGTGACCTTTTCATCATTAGTGCTTGCGTGTAATGGCCTGCCTTCTCGTTGGCGATCAACCTCTATGGTGTGTCCCGTCTCCTCTACCCTCGTTAAGTGTCTGGTCTCTCGGCTGACTTATTGCTCTGGACCTTGTCAGCACAACCTTACATCAATCCCAGAGGCGCGTGAAGAGCCTGCAAGTGATCTGCCAGGAGGAAGCAACACATTGTGAGCAGTACACCGGCAGGTTGTTAAAAACTACACGTAGCATTGTCTGTTGGGGAAAGAGACGTACGAAGGCGAAGCCTTTGCGATAAGTGCCCTTTAAGTTTCGTGTACGACGCAGAAGTTGCAGCCACTTGCAATATTAGTTTCCTGCCCCATTGTTACCTCTACGGATGCTCAACTGCGGCATAACACTCCATGACAGCTACTTCGTTGCCTTGGTAATTAGGCCCCAGAGACCATAAAGGACACACAGCCTGTCTAGAAAAGAACTCAATCCCCCGTACCCCAGTCCGCGGAGAGTCCATTTTCTTTCTAGCAGGGTGTTTGTTCGTCGATATGCTCCAACAGGAACCGCGACCTTGACGGCGTCCTGTCTCTCCCACACTCGAGATACTGATCTCTGGCACTCTTTTAGTTTGAGGGCTCAAACCCCACAGTCTCTCGTTCCGCTACTGTTCTTCGAGCTCGCTTCTCACGGCCTTCCAGTCAGCACTCACACAGGTTACAATCTTTCTCTCCCACGACTTGTATAAATGCCATAGCAGATGGACTGCCCCTCACAGCTCTTCCTTCCCCTTTTCACAACATTTCTTTTCGCATAAGCAAGTTCAGGTAGCCTCGCTTTCCAAAGTAGGTGCATATCAAGTCTGTTAAGTATAACCTACACAATACACAGACAACTGACCATCGATAGAACACCGACGTCAAGATGATTATCCCCGAGGTCACCACGGCGCTAAGTGCCAACATGCAAGTCGCGAGAGCTCTCCCAGCCCACCTGCTCCCCAACGCGGACGCCATTTTCGCCATGGAGAGAGAATTCCCCACGCGCATCGTCCTTGACCTCTATACCAACGAAATCGGCACTTTCTCCACCTGGGGCCGCAAGAACTACACCGACATCACCGTTACCCCCACCGGCCCGAACGGCACCGTCGTCGAGCAGCCGTCGTCCGCCATGTGCGGCGAGAACGAGCTCGTCTGCGACAAGGGCCACCAGGCCATGGCCAGCGTCTGCTCGCACCTCATCAACGTCCTCAAGAAGGACAAGGCCACCGACATGGTCCGCGGCACCCCGCAGGACTACTGTCTCGAGATCGAGACAGCGCGGTGCTGCGTCAGCTGGACTGCGTTTATTGACAAGCCGACGCCCGTTGGGGAGCTTTTGCCTGCTGCGGAGATGGTCTATGATAACTGCCGTGACAACTTTCGCAGCTACGTCTCTGGCAAGGTGTATGGTGTTATTGTGGGCACATACTGCATGGACCAGTGCCTTTCTGAACGGCCGGATGGCTGCTGATCGTGGTATGTTTTCTGACTTTTCCTGATTACTTGCCACATAAATACTTTGTGGGCTAACTCAAAATTTCCGTCCGTCAAGGTCTCGAATTTGGGAGCTTGGAGTTTTCTGGATTATGGTTCTAATGTTTAATGCTATGGGCACTCCTGCTTTGGGAAGAGGGCCAGGCCAGGTCAGGTTATATTCACGCTTGCTACTCTATACGCATCTACCTACTATCACGTCTTGTCAATTGCTTCGTACATATTTGTCGAGGTCATAGTAATCGGCCCTGTCGACATTTCACCAATGGCTCAAGGTTCTAGAATATTAACGCAAGTTAAAAAAGTTAGTCGATGAAGATTGCTCCTTTCGTGCTCCATTGACGTGCCGCATATACCTTGTATCCACACTTCCTATCCACGAGTCTGCTCAAGGTAGATAGATATGCCAAGCCATGGCCACGACGGCAGGTAGTCAAACGTTACCGCGCATCAGCATTTGTGGCAAAACAACGCAAAAAAAGATTGTGGAATCTTGCTTCGTTCTAAAAACATTTGCGACAACAGCAGGGTTCGAACCTGCGCATCCGAAGATAATAGATGTCTGAATCGTGAACAATTCAAGTCTATCGCCTTGGACCACTCGGCCATGTTGCCATTGTTTGAATGTGGAGATTCGACTGGACAAGCATGATGTTACTGGCAGGTCGTAGCTGCATGCCACGTTTTTCGGCAAGAGCTGCATGGGGCTGCAGCTCCAGGTATGAGTATGACAGCGTTCCAAACGCCTGGTTTTTTATAGGAAGAAGCCTAAATGACTTCGAGGCATGGTGAGTCGGATCGTTAGAAGCTGAGCTCGGTGCATTTGTTATGACACTCATGGCTTTGCTCGGGGAATTCGTTGGAGGCTGAGTATCTCATGGAATATTACCTAGGTAGTGCATCCATTTCTAATCTTTCTCTAATTCTACTTCGAGATTATTCACAGGCGGATACAAGGGGAGTAGGATTAGATTGTTGAATCATTCGTTACTATTCCTCATAAAAGTACGTACATATCTGCTAACGCCATCTAGCAGTTGATGGGATACTTGACGAGGTAGGCTTCAATCTCTTCTAAGCTGGCGATCGGAGGCTTCGATAGAGATTATAATTTTGCCAAGTCTCAGGACGTCTATGTAGACCCTTCACTTTGCCAGGACCTTCAATCATCCGCGCCGTCAAAGAGCTTTGAGCAAGAGGGACGCCCAAAGATCTAAATGATAAAGGTCAGGCTCTCGGAAACACCTTCGCTGAGTGTTCATAAGTGACGAATCGAGAGGCGGGATATGAGGCATATCATGCGGCATCCCACGTATCAAAGGGCAACAGGAAACTATTTCGACAGCCCTTATTAACCTAAGCTGCTTATATATCTGGGTAACTTGCTTGCCCACCTTTACCTTAAGTGCACGATACTCTTCGCGTCAACTCTGCGCCTCTTACATAGCTACTCGGCACACTCTACAGCGAAGTGAGTGCGCACGGCGGGCATCAGTACCGTGAGGACTGAACGGAGCAACCCGTCCACGAAGATGGCGAGATGATCGCATGCTCAACATGGCGCATTCCCTCCGCTGAATGCCACGCGAAGCTTACTTTGACGTCTCCTAAGGTGCGCATATCAGACACACATCGATTAGCTTTATGTGGTGATTGGCCGTCCGATGTAACAAGGTAGGCACCGGTATTAGACAGCCCCACATTAACCGCCCGAAAGCTTAGGAGAGGCGATGCAGGGAAGATCTTCCCGCAAATGGTGGGTGATGTCATTTTCGTCGTTCATCTAGGCGGATGCGACTCCTTGTCAGTAGCAACGAGAGACACAAAAGATATTTTGCAAGAGATCTAGTGATGGCTAGTTGGCATTGGTCAATCCGAGAATGCGTGAGTGCGATCTGCCCTATGAGATGGGGAAAACTTGGCAGCTATCTGCGGCGCAGTCCGCGCAAGGTCGTGCAGCGATGACAGGGCATACACCGCAACGCTGCAGCTCATGCCGTCAGCGGCTTTATTGAAGCATTGATAACTGGGATCCCATGCTTATTTTATGGAGTATAACACGAAGATATTCCTTGAATAGACGCTGCCATACAATCCGATCCCAATTTTGAGGGTATCGTCGTCAAAGTCTCACTCATCCCAACTTCACAAGTCTCGATACCTCCACGCCAAAACCCAAATCTGTCACACAATGTTCAAAAACTCGGAGATCTTGAAGGCTAGAGAGCAACAAGAAGAAGAGAAGAAAAAGTTACAAGATGAGGTAAACCTTCGTGGCAAGCAGGGGCAGGACACATCTAAGGGCGAACAAGTATGGTACTCTCGTCGTGTTGACGACGGGTGTCTTCTACACTGGGCCATCATCACGCACGGCCTGAAGTACGAGCTAAGACTACCGAATGGCAATGTTCCAAAGGACAAGTTGCCGGAGAGCGAGAAGACCAGTTCGTTTGAGCCTCCAAGAGTGTATGAGGCACGAGTTGTCTCATGGTCTCTGAAGGAGGAAATGAACAAGCTCAGGGCATTGAAGCTTTCGACATCGGCTAAGGGCTATCACACACGCGACTACACCGTTTGTCAGATCGGCTGGACAACATTGACGAAAGACGAAGTCAACACCGAGTGGGCTGCCGCGCGATCATCTATTGCAGCCGAGGATCTCGGATATGATGACTGCCGGGAACTACTCAAGAAGTTCGGCGGCATCATCAAGAAGCCCGAGGGATGTGCGCTTGACTATGACTGGTTCACAGAAAGTCTCGAGACACCGACTCACAGACTAAGCGAAATCACACCGGACAAGGCCGTCAAGGGGTTCCAGAACTCGATGCAGAACGGGCTATGGGGTGTTGCTGCCGCAGGAGCCGGAGCTGGAATCGTGTACGGCGCATATGAGGCGGGGAAAGCGATGGATCCCATGAGGAGCGGTGCCAATGCGGGTGGCAGTCTAGGCCCAGATTGCTGCTGCGCTACTTGCTGGTGTTGTACTGGTATGGCTGGTGATGGAGGACCTTGTTGGGAATTTTGCGCTTGGGTGCCGTGTATGGCCTTGAGCGGTGGCTGCTCATGTTGATGGTTGAGTCCTATGACGGCGTAGATTTTGCTTGATAGAGGTTGCTTTCTGCATTGAGTACATAGCAAACGTTGCGTTCCTTCTAGCATTCACTTCCTAGCGCTTTAATCGAATTCCTTCAACAGCGAGTCTCTTCAGAATCACCATCACCATCATGGGATGATCAGTGGTCGGAGCATTCATATTGAACACAAAACACAAGCGGTGAACAAGGAATGAATCTGTGTGGTTTAGCATTACACTTCTATTTGATGACAATATCGTTTATTAAGGTAGGTAGATGGTATCTGATGTTGGAGGCTCTTCCTCTCGTCAGCTGCCACACTGGATGTCTAGAAGGGAATCTTGAAGCCTGAGTGACGCAGGTTTTGGAAAACACCTGTGGGATCGTACTTGGCAGAAGCGGCCCTCAACCTCTCAATGGAAGCTTCGCCATATGACGAGATGACATCCTGCACCTTGTGAGCATAGTTGAGGAAAATCCAGCCCCAGTTCAAGTCCAGAGACGCAGCATAGGCCTCGACATCTTCTGTGTAAGCTTGGATGTACGGGAAAGAAATGGTCTCGTTCTCAGCGCCGTTGACGGCAAAAGTAATGAGGAACATAATGCCGTTGCCACGGGTGATGTAGTGGCCCAAACCCATGCTGTTGCCACCCATGGCGATGCCCTTGTCGACGATGGACTTGGTGATGGGCTGGAACATGCAAAGAGTGTTGAAGCCAGAGTCGGCACCGACAGCCTTCTCGAGATCCGCGTTCAGAGTGTAGAACTTCTCGACGGCGTAGTTCATGACTCGGGCGTCGTTGTCGAATGCAAGCGTGAACCAGGCGTTGCGAAAGCCTGCGGGCTGGCCGGATCCGAGTTCATTTGCGACGATGGAGATCAAGTCGACCTTAGTGGTGTCCTGGGTGATGTTGCCGGCTGCGTAGTAGGCATCGAAAGCAGGAGGCGCAACCTCAGCCAAGGTGTTCTCGATGGCGGCGTTGAGGATCATACCACCGAGTTGGGGGAGGTAAGCCCAATAGACGATGGAAGAGCTGTTCTCATCCTTGTTGACGTTCTCCGTGAATTCAACGAGAGCGTCAATGACTTTGGGACCAGACTCTAGGTCGTAAATGAGGTTGCCTCCCCAGACTACAGGCTTTGTTGGGTCGGGGAAGTCAATGGCGTACATGTCGAAGCGAGTGACAAGACCGAGGTTGGCACCAGTTCCCTTCAGACCTTGCCACAGATCGGAGTTGGAAGTAGCATTGGCATTGACGATGGATCCGTCAGCAAGGACCACCTCAAAGTTGGCAACTTGGTCGCATGCGAAACCGTGAGATGCTGAGTGGAAGGAGTTACCGCCGCCGAGGATGAAGCCACCAGTTCCGACAGTACCGGCGCGACCGCCAGTAACGACGACGCCATAAGGTGCAAGAGTGTCGTAGACGGTTTGCCAGTGGCCGCCGGGTCCAATGGAGGCGATCTTGGTATCGGGGTTGTAGGTAGTGCTGTTGAAGTTGCCAAAGTCGATGGTTACACCGTCGTTGACACTGTTGGATCCAGCAAAGGAGCCGTGACCACCACCGCGAACGCCAAATGTGCAGTTGGAGGCAGCAAGGGTGGTGATGATAGTTGAGACATCCTCGGCTGTTGAGGGTTGTGCGACACACCAAGGGTCCAGGGCGGCTGTGATGGACCAGTACGAGTCCATACGTTCCACATACTCGGTTGAGTTAGGGAAGTAAATCTTGCCTGCCAGCCCCGGGGCCTTGTTCAACTTCAAACACTGTTGTCGGAGTCAGTGACATGCACCAGCACTTTGCAAAAGATGTGTGTAGGGAAACTCACGCATGCTGTCGACTGTGAGTAGCAAGTCGCAGCCGACGCAATGTCAAAGAACGCCGCAGTGCTCAACGCCATCACAGTTGACTTCATCATGTCAACTGAGCAGAAACTAAGGTTGGCAAGGTCGGTTAGGGCGGACGAGGAGAGATTGAGGTGGCGAGACCCAACACCGAAGTCAAGGACTGACTAATGGAAAAGACCGACGGGCGTAGATTGCACTGACAGATGTGAACACGGAAGCAGACATTCTACGATGAGCCCTCAGCTTATCCTTATATTACCCTGTCTTGAAGCAACTTCAGAGCTGTAATCCAGCAGGGTGGATGAGGAACCCAAAAAGGAATACTGATCCTTGGGAGGGCCTGGACGAATTCAGAACTGGGATAAGGGTGTGACATTACTGCCGTGATGCATTAGACCAAAATACCCCTCCTAACGGCTGGCACCGTCCAGTTGTCATCAATTTGTTGTTCATCGGTCAAGTCCTCTCTCCTGGCATGGGTGGGTAGTATCGGTCAAGTTTACTACAATCCTTGCATTGAAGACTTGGCAAACATGCTTCTTTCCCCTGCCTGGCAGCACCGAAGATCGTTGGTGCGATTTTAACCCCTGTTGCCCTTTTGTTTTATCTCGTGTCTTTTCATAACGTTACTCGATGTCGTTGGAAGTAACCGAATATCACCCTAGTTACCGAAGCTCCGTCGTCCCACCCAAGATCCTGGACGTTGCCATTGGGGAAGAGATTGATTTGCTACCGGGCACTGGGGTTACGATTCCGCGCACTCCGCGTAAGCTCATCCTTCTGAAAACCCTGGCAACTTACAAGTATCGCGCCGACGACAACGATCAACCAACATCGCCTCAGTTAGGGCCAGATGAAAAATGCTTCCTGCCCCGCGCTTCAGCGGACTGGGCCGATCTCGGGGGTCAGGCCTCATCGAACGATTTAGCCCCCGCCCGGCGCCATCATCCGAGGTAGTTCATCGACGGTACGGGTCCTTGGAGATACTGCAAGGTACCTTACCTGAGGTATGCCAGTATAGAGTAGAATGGGTGTTCTCCATTCGTAAGACTAAAGCAACCTTGTATTACGGAGTTTCCAATGGCTTACATCACCTCACACACCGCGACCTTAAAAAGGAAGTAATGATCGAACTTGACCTTGCCACGTCTTTCTTCTTCACCGTGATACGGGAAGCGGCTCGATTGAAGCCCCAGTCCCTGCAAATGAGAAAGATTTCCTGTCATATTTGCGGAACTTCTGCAACGGACTTCAACACTTCTCAGATTGATATGCAGCCTGTCGGAGCCGACCACCCACTGCAGGTGTGAGGCGCATTTCATACGAGGATTGAGATTTTTGAGCTTCGGGCTAATCGAACGACCTAGCCCTCTATGCCATTGTGCGGCTACTGGAATTTCATCATGCATTTCGCTCGAGAGATGATGGAGGGTTTGTCTCAACTTCACAACATCCTAGTTCCAACACTCCTCATCCCTGTGACTGAGCTAGCGGAGTAACAGACAAGGAGTGGAAAGATCAACGATTACGTGCCGTTCTTCAGGCCAGAATACCAGATGAAGTGATATCGCGCATAATTATCTTGGCCGACCGCTAGCCCAGGGTTTTGCGGCGTTGGTTCTAAGATAAATTTTGTGACTGCAGGACGGTGGGACTGGAGCAGGGCCTTTTGCATCAAGCTGCATGGGGGCGGAGATGTGGGCTCGCTTCCTCTACCTTACCCTTCAAAGCTCGCAATCCTAACATAAACTTATACATGCTTGCGAATCACACTCTGGATATAATGTGAAAGACAGCCGGTGTCAAGTATGTAGTCGAGAGTGATACATGCTAAAACCGACGCTTCTATAGCCACTCCCATATCGCTTGGTACATAGCGGCCATGGTGTCCGAAAATGCCTTTCGCCCGAAGGATGTAATATGCTTTAAGCCACTGGCCACCCACGTACTTTTGGTGTTGTGTTCTTGTCATTTGATCGAGTTTGTCCTGTGACCCATTTTTTCGCAAACATCAGCACGAAATCAGCAGTTTGACCATTCGACTCCAAGAATCCCAGCCATGCCAGTGGTGAACGGCGTGATCACTGCCCTTCCGCCTCCGGAAGGCTATGTGGTCAACTTCGATGGTCCCCATCGACAGGCCGTACCCGAAGCTTACTATGTAGCTGGATTCGGCACCCTTCTCAGTATCTTGCTCATGGCGCAAAGGCTGTACACGAAAGCCTTCTTGATCGGTCGGCTGCAGTGGGACGATGGTAAGAACGCCTACCAGACAGCATGTCAAGTGTCTTTCCCCCCCATTATCCTCTATCATCACGACCTGCCCTTAATTTTGTCTTCGACCGCAACTTGGAAAGCCGAGTGGACTAACATTCGATCTTGGCAGTCTTTCTTCTATTGGCTTGGGTTAGTGACATCATGAATACCCCCAGCATGAATGCCTCGGACGCCGGGTCGTGACTTGCGGCAACATACTGCCTCAAGCGTATCCACCCAACGCCAACAACACTTATGGGAACCAGTCTTGCTGACTGCATCATAGTTCACCTCCATCGCAACGATTGGATTGTGCGTTCGTGAGTAAATCTGTCAAGCTTATATGTCGGCTAGTCTGTTGCTAACAAGCCCTTGGTAGATATGTTCGCATATGGGTCGGGAGGTGTTCACGGATGGGAGATATCCATAGAAAAGTATAAAATCTACATGATGGTATGTGAAGATGAACTATGCTGTTTATCTATTTTATCCTTGAGGGCTGGCATGTTGTTGCGGGAGCCCGATTTACTAAAGTACTGGTCAACGCAGGATGTCTTTCTCGCGGCCGCCATCTACACCCTCTGCGGAAGTTTTGCCAAAGTCTCTCTCCTGATCTTCTACTTCAGACTGTCCCCTCAAAGATGGTTCAAAAGAGCCGTGTGGATTTCTCTTGCAATCATTGCCGGTTACAGCTCTGGTATATTCTTTGCCCTTGTCTTTGCCTGTGACCCAATCGCGATGAGCTGGGATGTGACCATCACGGAAGGCACATGCATCAACCGACCATCGTTATACATTGCAACCGCTGTGGCAAACATCATCTCGGACTTGATACTCTTCGCCCTCCCGCTACCAATCGTTGTGAAGCTACAGATTCCACGTCGACAAAAGATTGGCTTATTCTTCATTTTCGCAGTCGGGTCACTGTAAGTCGACGCTGCCGAGATCCTCAAACAAGATACATGGTATACGTAGAAAGATCCCGGTGAAGCTAACAAAGCCTGTAGTACAGTTGTCACATCGATTGTTCGCGTTTCTCTTCTCCCAGCCATGCTTACGAGCATGGACCAAAGCTGGGTCATTGCCTGGGCTAGCTTGTGGATGTAAGTAAACAACGGTCTACCTTGATCCTATCGTTGTTATTTGTATGTACGTCTCCTAACAAATTGGTTCCTCAGTATCGTTGAAGCCAATCTGGTCGTTATTTGCGCCTCCCTCCCGACCCTACGCAAATTTTTCCGGCATGTCGCACCTAAGATTATCGGCGAAAGCACATATGGCAAGGGAAAGACCGTCGGTGGTGGTGGGAGCAAAGCCATGTCGCGAATGACTATTGGTGGTACAAATGGAACGCGAAATCGAGCCGAGTACTCGCAGTTTGATCGCGATAACAACGGCGAGGCATTTGTGATGGCTAGCATGGGACGTAATAAGCCAGTAACTATCGCCACTGGCAATAGCGAGAATGATCCCACAAAGGATGATTCATCAGAAAAAGCTATCATGCGAGGAAACAACATTGTCCAAACAAAGACGATCACTGTAGAATACAGCCCGAAGGAGTGAGGCTCGGGAAAACACAGAACTCGGTATCGAGAATGGGCGTAGACATGCCGGGACGTGGGAATTGATGATTTGGCAAGGCGCATGGATTGAAAGGGAGAAACGTGGTCGATGTTTTTTATGGTTTTGTGAAACAGCGACTCGACTCGTTTTCATCAAGTAATAATTATCGGGGAAGTTTGGCGGGATCGGCAAACCCGTATCCATGACCAGCTATTGCCGTTGAAGATCTTCTTCCATATCCATACTCTGGTTCATCATCGAAAAGGTCAATGCAAAAACATTCAGGGTATCGCAGGGCCGGTGGACATCTGGCGGATCTTGATGAGCACGCAATGTCGAGGCGTTCTGCTGTAGAAATAATAGCAATCACCGGGTATCAAAGTCAGGAGTCCATTGGGTAAAAGAGGCAAGCTGATCGTCAATGATGGTTATTAGCCAGGAAAAAGGTGGCAGCCGTATAGTTGAAGCAGACTTGATAAGTTTACAATTAAAATGGTTTACGTACCTCTTCCACATCAATGAAGCCTTTGAGTGACTGTTGTGTCAACAAGATTGAACCACCCGCATGCTAAAGCGTACATCTATACTAGTGCTCTGCAGTCCCTATGTTGGCGACTCTGCCATCTTGTAAGGTAACAATCTTGTTAATGCCACGAAGGGCCTGAGGACGGTGGACCACAGATATGACAGTGTGGTCAACGAACTCGCTCTCGATGATCCTAGCCATCATGTCTTCGGTCTCTTGGTCGACGGCACTAGTAGCCTCGTCGAGGACTAGAACCTTGCTATGATTCTTCCTGACTATGGCCCGGGCCAGACAAAGCAGCTGCTTTTGGCCCTTGGATAGTGGTAAGTTGGAGACATCTGTGTTGAGCCCTCCACTCAAGGAGATGGCTGACCACAGTGAAACCTTGGTCAGGGCATCCATGAGATCAGCGTCGGATGGCACCTCATCCGCGCTCAAGACGTCGCTAAAGGGAAAGAGATTTGTGCGCAGGCTTCCGGGGAAGAGAAGTGGCTCCTGTGGGATGGCGATGAGGCATCGACGGAGCACGTCGTTAGGGACAGTGCATATGTCAACACCATCGATTAAGATCCTGCCTGCATCAAGGCCAAGAAGCTTGAAAATAGCGAGAGTGAGAGTCGATTTGCCACTGCCTGTGCGACCACATATCGCAACTTTCTCTCCCGGCTCGATCGAAAGCGAGACGCCCTTGAGTACCGGTCTCGTCTCCTCGGAGTAAGATACGGTGACGTTCTGTATCTCGACCTGACCCTGGGAGGGCCATTGACGTGGAACGTTGTCATGCTCCCTAGCGACAGGCGTCGGTTCGATTGGTGTTCGAGATACGAAGGTTCTCAAGCGTGATATGGCACCTAATGATGTTTCGAGCTCTGTCCAGGAGGTAATCAGAGTGGCCAGAGATTGATTGAAGTTGAGCACATTGTAGAGCGCGATGGCAATTGCTCCAGTGCTAGTCGCATCCGGTATCATCATGGCCATGGAGACCAGCAAGACTGCAATGGCACCGACAAGAATGTCGAGAACCAAAGTGAGCCATCGCTGGATGCAGAACATTAGATAGTAAGGACGTTGGGACTGATCTAAGAGATCAAGTGAAGTGTCTCGGAAGGCAGTCTGCCAACCGAATGCGCGAATAGTTGACATGCCATCGATGGTCTCGATCAACTTTGTCAGAAGAGGAGCTTGTGCTTGGAGATCGAGGAATCGCATCTGACGAGACGTTCTTAGATAGAAAGCTTGTAGGCAGTAGAGGGCGAGCAAGGCGAACGGGATGGCAGCTGCAAGGTATTTGGCACCGATGACAATCAGAACGGCTCCTGCGAAGCAATCAAGAACGGCTGAGATGGATTAGCTTGGTGTTTTGTCTGGTATGTGGGACGAATTACACACCTATTGAAGTCATGAACAACGCTGAAGGAAGATCTCGGTCAATATGGGATAGGTCTTGACTGAATCTGTAAAATGTTAGGCATCTACGGCTTTAGACCTGTGACTCTGATATGACTACCTGTTGATCAAGTCTCCAGTGTCTGTTGATCCGAAGAATGGCAATGGTGCTCTGTAACTTAGTAAGTAATGATATACACCGCAGGCCAGCGAAGTGCAAGCCACCTCATGACAGACTGCAGAAGTGTCCAGTGCAGGCTTTGAGAAGACTTAGGTACGATCAAAACAAACATGATCCTGCAAGCTTCCGTTAGCACAGGCAGATTCTGCGTAAATAGTTTGCAGAAGCATCATTTGGATACGAACCAGATGTTGACTCCAATGACAAATAACCCCACAACGGAAATCGCAGAGTAGACTCCGAAGTAAAAGCCTGTGTCTGATGAGCCGGTTCTTGCGTCTTCTTCCGTCCAGAGCTTGAGCCAAATTTCTGGCATAGATCAGCAACCATGGTCGACCAGTAGAAGTATTTGAAGAGAAACTTACGAGGGAAGACTCTGAAAAAGCAGTCAAATATCAAGGTTATTGCACCAGCAGAGCCATAAAGCCAACCGATGGACTTCAGGTAATACCAGTAGAGCGTTGTGTCGCCCGCCTTTCTCAAGAGATCCTGCTCGGATTCAGACACTACCCCTTTGCTCTGTGGCTGACTTTGTTGTCGAGATTTTTCGACTAGAATAGTATCAACGTCCTTCTTATCTTCGGGCTGCGTATCCTCGAAAGAAAGACTTTGAAGATAAGCGCTTTCCCGAATAGTATCAAAATTACCTTGGCTAGCAATCTGCCCGTTATCGCCCAAGATGACGATCTTGTCCGCAAATTTGAGGTACTTCACTGTGGTTGGCGTGAGCCAACAGCCTGACACATGGAACTTTGCCGTGTGCGCCGGTGTATCTACTTACGTGAGTGTGTGGCCAGAATTACGGTTGCACCATATTGGCGGACAAGGCCTCGTGGGCTGAAAAGACAGTCCCAGATGTGAGTCTGGGTGGAATTATCAAGCCCGCTCAACGCATCATCAACAACAAGAACAAGCTTCCTAGAGAATACTGCTCGTGCTAGAGCCTGGTGAAGTCAGTGAGCAATTTTGAACGACTCTTGGTAAAGTCAAGGGAAACAACTTACAACACGTTGCTTTTGACCCCCGCTCAGTGACTGGCCTTTGCTTCCTACTACTGTGTGATCTCCGTTTGCTAGCTGAGAGAAGTCGGGCACAAGAGCGCAAGCATGTATAACTCTTTCGTACCAATCCTCATCGGGAGGTGTTTCACCCAGAATGTTTTCCCTGACAGTTGCAGTCGTAAGCCAGGTTGTTTGGGCACAATACGCTACAGGGCCTTCAAGAGCCATGACCGAACCATTGGTTGGTAGTTCGCCTAGTAAACCTCGAAGGAGGGTGGTCTTTCCCGAGCCTATCCTGCCAATCACGATGGTCATAGATGAGGGGGCGATTCGAAGGTTGATGTCGCGCAGAATGGGCTCCTCATCAATCTTGAGGCTAAACGAGCCGTCCTGCACTATCGCGATTTCTCTCTGCTCGGACGAGGTTCTCGGCGGCACTGTCTGCATTTCTATGCCATTATCAGTTTCGACGTAGCCACGGTCAGAGTGGTTTGCAGCTTCAATGTAATCAGGACTCGTGACCGTTGATGGCCTACCCTGTTCGAGGAAGACTTGGATCCTCTCGAAACTTCCTAAAGATGCCACCAAACTCGGTACCGAGGTGATGAGTTGCGCAAGAGGCCCAGCAATCAGGTCGATAATGGAAAGCGATGTGAATACCGTGGCGATAGAGAGCGACAGCCCGGCATTGATCTTTTGCGCAAGTATGGCAAGGCCAAAAGTAACAACAGGACCAACCATTGACGGCGCATTGCCTGGATATGCAGTATCAGCTTATGGTCTACAGCCATTGACTCATTGAGCGGGGGCTTAATCTCACCTAACATATTCATATAAGTGATCAGCCGGCGATACTGTTTCGCCCTGCGCAGCTCTGCAATTCTGAGATCTTGGATTGCATGCTGAAGGAAATCTACCATTCCCAACATCTTTGTTTCTTTGATCGCACCAAGCACCTCCGCAGTGACAGTGATACGCTTTTGGACCTCTTCGTTCCAAATCTTCGAAGCTCGAGGCATCAGTTTCGATAGCCTCGCCATACCAATTGTGCAAGCTGGTAAAGTCTTAGTTAGATCAACAGTGCATTGTGTTTTGGTTCAATCTCGACAGCATTGGCTTACCAATGATGGTTACGCCTGGTCCCACACTACCAAGGCCAAGTTGTTGCTGAAGTAGCCAGATGGCAAGGCCGATTTCTATGGGGTTTGCCCATACCTCATGGATCATCTCAAATGACTTGCAGATGGTTCTCACGTCGGTGCTGACCAAGGTCAAGGGGGCAGACGGGTCGCTAGCCTTCGTCATGTCTAGCTCGAGGTTGTTGGACATGATGAGAGAAACCAGAGACCCACGAATCATCGTGATGTAACGGAAGAGCTTATGTTGGTAGAAACCCGTCGACAACTAACACAAGTTCTTTTAGTGGAGAGAACCTCAACCAAGCACTATTATTGTAACTCACCGCGTTGCCCAGGTAGACCAAACCTGTTGCAGCAATTAATCCGTAACCAACAGACTTAGAGTCAGATCCTCGGTCGCCGTCGACGTATTTGATGATTCGGTTGATGAGAAACGGTTGAGAAAATTTGAATCCAATCAGGACGAGTCTGGGTACCGCCGTGACCAACAAAGCCATCTTTGTCGTGCTGAAAATCGAGCGTAACAATATCCGCTTGCCATGTCCTCTTCGTCGATTCCATGCATTGTCGAGGTTCTGCAGCAGGTATTCAGACCGCATATCATTATCAATATCGTAAAGTGTCGACGGAGATAAGGTCGCTTTGAAGCCTTTACCTAGCAGGCTATTGAGCCACCAGAAGAAACCGCGAGCGATGATGCCGCTCGTGGCTTCCGGGCTCAAGTGGTGCAGAGCTGCAAGGAGGAATCGGCGTTTGCCTTGTACTTCTAGAAGAAACATTATCAACTTCACTGCCAGCGCTGCGCTGGACACACTAGCTAAGTTGCGCATGCCAGGGAGTAGCCATAATGTGCGGCATTGCACGGCATCGAAGACGAGCGAAAAGGCAAGATAGACGCAGATGATGGTTGATGGTCGAATGGATCGGAGATGCTCTGCATGGCTGAGGAGAGTGAGAGCGAGGGCATCTATAACGCCGAGAACTGCGGCAGCGATGGAGACGCGGCTGGAAAACGGTGCTTGTGCCCATAACGTGAGCAAGGCGATTTGAAGTCCGCCAAAGACAATGCACGTCGCGATCTTGACGGCATTCGAGGGATGCCGTAGGACTTTGCGGCGTTGGTGGAGAAGGTGTTGCAGCCGCAGAGGGAGGGCCAGAAGCAATACAGCAGACGGGCCAACATTCAAGATGGACTGTTCAAAGAGGAGGGTGAAGTCGAATCGGTTGCTGCAGACGGTCGCAGCAGGGCCGAAAGAACCCTCACAATCGGCAATGGACGTGAAGTTGTCCATAGCCGCTGCGATGGATGATGGAGTTGCCAGTCGAAAATTCAGGAACGTCTTGCACGAACTCGCCCGGTATTTTACTATGCGGTGCTCCCAACGAAGCTAAGGATCCCTTGATGCGCCCAGGTAACACGTTTGGGGTGCTCTCGTAAGTACACGCGGAGTTAGGGTTCATACTGCCTCAAGACGCGAGGAATTTGCGAGTCTAGCCAATGACTCGCAATGTGCCGCGACAGTAGTGACGGTGCTGCTGCTAGTGCTGGAAGCAAATCGGTCACAGAATTACACACAAAATTGCACACAGAAATACACGTTGAATCATTGATGTGGAGATTCCTGCTTGTTTGGAACTTTGGACGGCTGATTGCGACCCCCGAAGTTCTCGAGAAATGTAAGAACGATCACCAAAAAGGAAGGTCATCTGAACTTGGAAGTGAAATGTAATGCGCTAAAGATGTCACTTCCAGGCGTTCGTGCCGAGATCCGGTTAACGGCTTGGGGTTTGAGCTGCTCACTGCTGCCAGACGTGCCAAACGGGCTTTGGAAAATGCGGACGTGCGAGTAAGCTGCGCGTCTGGGTACGAGTTTACAGGGATCGATGAACCTAAAGTGCTGAGGTTCTCCTTGATAGGGCGTATTCGCGTCAATTTCGATGTCTTCACAGAGACCATGATGACTGTCAACCACCGCTGAATCGCAGTGTACAAGTACTACCCGCTAATTACTAGACCGTCGGATCAGAAAGCTTGTCTGCCAGTCTTTTATTACCGAGGTTCGCATAGGCGAGGATGCCTTAACCAAAGCAATTGAGCGACTCTCTGAAGTCTTCACCACCACAATTACGGGCAAACACGGCGACAAAGCTCCGGTCTATTCATGAAGTTTGATGATAGCTTCCGCGACCTTCTCGGCAGCAACAACAATACCAGCTTGCGGATTCGCGGTAAAAATACCATTGAGTATTCCCGCGTCAACAACATGCAAGTTTATAGTTCCATAAACTTGCGCGTTGAGATCGACGACGGATTTACCCCCCTCAAGGGCAGAGTCAGTTCCAAGACGAGCAGTTCCGACCCAGTGATTGGCGGTACGGCCGGCATCAACCGCCAACTATTTACACGATTGAGTAAGCCCATGTTCATATCAACCTTCAGAAGGACAGCATGATTTACTCACATTTCGAACGTAATCTCGTACTTCTTGACCAGGGGCAGGGTTGATCATCGTGGCTCCAGGAATGGAAGAAATCGCCTTGACGACCCCACTAACAGTAGCCACAACGGATTCGAAGTCATTGTTTCCTTCGTCATTGAAGTAAGGAAGCACGCTGACATCCATAACGAGGGACGAGTTAATTGTGACGCGTCCCCTCGAAGTCTTGCCTAGTCCGAGGGCAGCTGCAATGCCGGAAGTATCTGTGGCTATTAGTGATGGTCATCTAAAAGTAGGGATGTTACCAAATGTACGCACTGTATGTCTTGCCTCTTTGTGGTCCGCCAACATAACTCGTCCATTGAAACCACCTGTCGATGCCGTCGTCTCCTTTGACCGCATCCCAGAAGATGGGATTGATGTTCGGGGCGGCTTGGGTCAAGATGCCTGATCTGTCGGCTGTAAAATCACTGTTAGTTAGTAAAGTCAAACCATCTTGCAAGGGCAGATTTGTGATCTCACTAAGATATGCTGCTGCATCATCTGGAATAGGGTTATTGTAAGCGCTGTTGAAGTTGTAGTTCACTATGTCCGGATGCTCGAACATGATGTTTGTCTGAACTGATTAGCTAAGGAGACATAGGGACTTTGGAAATGAGTGTTACATTTAAATGATCATCGAGGTTGTGCCCGACCGGAAGGTCAATCCATTGGGCAGAGTCGATGAGTGAATCTGGCTCTGCTTTCCGGACGACGTCTAGCTGATCTTTGGGGCCAATCCCGCCTATCCATATGATTAGAACTTCCGAAGCGGTCTCGGCGTTTGGTAGATGGAAATTTCTTACTCCGAAACAGAATCTTGGCTGTGCCAAACACTCCTGCGGAAAGAATAACTCGGCCGCCTGAAGTAAGCTTGACAGTGCCATTGTATCCGCCGTCACCAGAAGGCTCAACTTGCACACCAGTGACGCTACCTCCGTTTCTCTCGACCCTGGTGGCGAGTGTATTCATCCAAAGCTTGAAGTTTCCACGGGCTGCTGCTGATACCAGATAGGTCTCCAAGAGCCCTCCTCTCTCTCCGTGCTGGAAGAAGTACTCTGACTGTGAGATGGTTTTGATTTTGGCATTAGGCTCACTGTTTGCCGCAATGCTAGCCCATCCGTCACTAACGAGTACCTTCGTAATCAAGTCACTAGCCTCGCGATTGTATAGAATCTCATCGCTAGAAGGAACACTAGTCCACGGTACACGCTGGAAAGCTCTATCCGTGGCAGCGGAGAGGTCCTCGGCTTTCCAACCATCAGGAAACTGGGAATCCCAGTCCAAGCTTTGAGGCTTAGAGATGTCAGCCACGATAAAGAGACCGGAGGAAAAGACATGCTTACCTTGAACCAAAGGCCTGCATTGATGGCGGATCCACCACCAAGGACACAGCCTGCCATGGGCACGACGTCCGGGCATTTAATGTCGGTGCTGTCTTGCCATATGAGGCCGTAAAGGCCTGGGACGTCAAACCTTGTGAGATTCGAGTTTTCAAGCCATTTTCCTCTCCGTCCTATACACACAACCGTTAGAGCTTGGTGTTGTCAATATACTGGTGACATGAGTGGACGTACTCCCACCCCATCTGAAAGAAGATGGGGGTCCTCTCTCGATCAGAAGCACATTTTTGCCATTGGCAGAAAGCCTATCAGCAGTGACGATACCTCCTGGGCCACTACCCACAACGATGTAGTCAAAGGGGTCATCAGGTACATTTGCAGCGAGTAAGTTCATTGATACTAGGTAAACGGTCAGTGAGGTCATTAGGGCATCATGTCTTGAGATCTTGTAACGTACGATGAGCCAGAGTAAGGCCTGAAAGACCCGAGAAAAGTTTCATTATCAAACTCAGCACTGTTGTTCGAGGCGCGCAGGCTGAGAGTGAGGAGAGCTAGGTGAGCTTCCGTACTGGTGAACCACCAATACTTGCTTGATATATACCTTCAAGTCTAGATATGAGAATACAATCGATCTCGATCTGACCAGGTTGTAGGTCGGGGTTTGATGTCTCGGACTTGAGGACTAGGGGGCCAAAAAAACCATAATGCCGAACCCCCCCCCGGAAATTTACCACTCGTTAAATGGGTAAACAGCTCACTCAATCTCTAGGCAGTTATTCGACTTCGTGCGGATTTTCGGGACTACAAAGTACCGCGACCTTTCCAGATGGTGAAATGGATCGCAAGACTGATAAAAACCAATTTGTTTCCAGTGCAGCCTTGGGACTTGAAAAAAGAAAACCAGAAAAACCCATTGACCGCTTCAAGGACTGGTCCGTCTTGATACAGATATCATGTGAAGTACGGCCTGCCTGTGAAGCAACAAGAGCGAAAGTTAAGCGGAACCTTTATGTCTTTCTTTCATTTCCTAGCCAGATCATTGCGATATCGCGAATTATCACCGAGGCTTAGCACTCGTACCACGTAGGGATCACCTAACGGGACCTTTCTTCCTTAACGGTCAGTCTTGCGGTTTAGCGAACGGCAGTATGTACCTGGAGAAAATGGCTACGTGGTTCAGATTCTGTTTAGTATCAGTGACTGGGACTTATGAACTGCGGCGTTGTATGTTTCCGATATGCGAATGGTTACTACGGCCAGAATGGGGCGACTACTTGTCGAGAATACATGTATTTACGTGACTGCGTAAACTAGGCAGCAATAAAAGCCTTTCCAAGTGGGCTGAGTCACAAACTCTATGTTATTGAGTTTAAATTACCGAAACGACTTATAAGCACAGGGAAATAGTCATTCAGATACCATTCCTCGCTCAATCTCGCCTACTCACATCGACCAGACACATCTAACCGATAGAGATATGAACCCTCCATTCTTTTGCTAGCAAAAGGGCTTGGTTGGATACGGAGCAAAATTATGATCTACAGGATTAAACAGTGGTGGAGATTGCCAAAAACTTCAAAATGAAAGGGACGAGACTCGAACTCGCGCGGGTTGCCCCACAGGAAACAGATGTTAAGCTGACCTTAACCTGGCGCCATAACCAACTCGGCCACCCTTCCGATTGATGATTTCTCCCCTCCAGAAATACATCTATGTTCTAGGTCCATTCGATCGCAAGCTCAGAGCGTGTCTGTGCCATTCGCTGTGTTGATGATCACCTTACAAAACCGACGATCTTCTACTGGCTCGTATTATAATTCATTTAGCACTCTTCACTGTATAATGGTATGAATGACTTGCGTTTGGCGTACACTCTTTGACAGTGGCATGGACTGTTGAACTGCTGCACAGGAATCGCCTGCACCAATCCGAACGCGACTTGGAATCCTGCATGCCAGCAAATGTCGATGCGTCGAGCCATTCCGCGCAAGCGTTCTCTCGTGGTATAAGTATCATATTTATGTGACGTATGATAAGTATTGTGATGGGGGCTAACTGGAAGTAAGTCCTTGTGACTGCATTAAGAGCTGAAAATGCTTGCCCTGAGGTGTTCAGAGCATCGTCGCACTGTCCAGCGCCCCCTGGACTTGAGGACTGGTCTCACAGGCCTGGTCTTAAGTACCTTGGCTACAAGTGCGTGACCTGTTTGTACGCGGACTCTAGCAGTGAGCATTTGTTTGAAGAACAGACCCTCAAATGTCAAGAGAAATTGAAGAGGAAAAACGCTGGATTCCCACCAAAAGAGTATGGAAGTTAGAAATGAGGTTGGACATTAACATGGAGATCTCAAACCTTACTTAATGAAAGCGTGGATGTGCCGAGTCGAACCGAAGAACGCAACAGTGATAGTTTGAGACATCTGATCATCATCAGACGCAGCGCCAGCATGCATTGGCCAATGTCAAAAGATAGTAACGTCAATTCAGCCACAAATACTCCGTAGTGCGTAAATATTTGCCATTTCTGCGGCACGTAATCTAGACTGAAGCCATTCCGCTTAGATTAATGTCTATTTCCGTTTCCGGCCAACACCTGATTTCACCCAGACACTCCGCAGCGCGGGTTGAAAGGTGAGACAAATTCTCGGAAATCTAGAGCGGCGTGAGCGGTAGCACCAATTTTGTAGATCCGATCATGGAGATGATAGTCATGCCATCTCCTCGGGCCAGACGTATAGATCGGACAGATCTGGCCAAAGGAACTCATGCCATTCCTTTCGGGAGGGTGCGTGAAGTCACGGATTGTGATCATTGACGACCGGAAACGGAATGAAGCGTAGCCTGTCGTTATGCTCGAAGCCAAAATCCCAAGTCTTAGATCTGCCCTAGAGAGTCTGAGGATGGTTCCCGTGACCGCTATGTCCGCAAGCAATGACCGCCAAAATAACACCGAAATCTTTATTTAGAGGATACCGCAACTTAGTCGGGGTTTGAATGCTGAATCATCCAGACTGAAATTGCGCCAACTCTTTCGGCCTCTAATCACAGACGTCAACTTTATTTGGTAACAAGTCAATAATCATCAATCCCCTGTCGCCTTGAAGAAAAGATGGTTAGACTTTCCCTTTCTTGTCTGCTGTTCTTGGCGGGAATCGTTGCAGCGGCGACATCTCCGGACCAGACCTGCGGAGGTTCCAACGCTTACACCTGTCCGGGATCTCAATGCTGCAGTCAATACAGCTGGTGGTAAGTTTGAGGTGATGCGCAAGACTGCGAGAAATTGTCAAGACTGACCTAGTATACAAATAGCGGAACAACCGACGCACACTGCGGAACAGGATGTCAATCCAAATTCGGTAAATGCACAACTGGTTCTAGCAACAGCGGGGGCGGCAGCACCAGCACCAACGGTAGGGTCAGCTCGGATGGCACCTGTGGCGGCACTGCGGGATACACCTGCAAGGGAAGTTCTTTCGGAACCTGTTGCAGCCAGTGGGATATTGCGGCAACACAGATGCTCATTGCCTCAACTCTTGCCAGTCAAAGTTTGGCGACTGCAGCTCCGTCACCAATGGCGGCAAAACGGTCAGCCAGGATGGAGCTTGTGGTGGAACAGGTGGAAACACCTGCCGAGGAAGCACCTTTGGTGACTGCTGTAGTCAATGGGGATACTGTGGCTCAAGCACCGATCACTGCAGCACCGGCTGCCAGTCATCCTTTGGAACCTGCTCTTCTTCCTCTTCAGGTGGAGGGGCTGCTGCATCTTCCTCGGCAGCGCAGCCCGCGTCCACTGGCGCCAAGACAAGTCCAGACAACACATGTGGTGGCTCCAATGGCTATACCTGCCCCTCAGGACTGTGCTGGTAAGTCAAATACAACACCTCTTTCTGTCTTGCATCAGAACATTGACAAGCCACACAATAGCTCAAAGAATGGGTACTGCAACACTGGCAGCGACTTCTGTGGCTTTGGATGCCAGTCTTCCTTCTCACCGGGGACATGTTCAACCTGCGCTGGCTCGGCATGTGGTGGTACGGTGACCAGCAATCCCACATGTTCCGCGAACGATGGATACTGTTGGACACTGAGTTCTAGAAAGTTCCAAATCATTTGCGGCAGGCTTGCTTCGGGAGACTATCTTGGCTACGTTGATGCTACAAGCTTAGGCGATTGCATTTCAAAGTGCGCTGCAAACTCGGCTTGTTTTGCTGCTTCTTTCTACCAAGGCAGCAGCACAAGCTGTAGTTTGCTTAGCAGCTATCAAGGTTCCGCCTATGGTAATTCGGCAGGTGGCCAGCAAAATCATGCCTACGTTCGTAGTTCTAGCTGCGGATAAAATCACTTCGAAAACATTTTGACTCTTCATGTCGTGTGTAGCTAAATGTAAGTGTAGCCATAGTTGCACTTTGAAGGGGCACAATCATTGTTACACTTATTAGTCTTGAGATAGAGAGTAACACCAACTGTGAATTGGAGTTTACGAAGCTTGAGGTCCAACCACTAAACATTCGAGCCCACCCTTACTCGTTCGACACTGAAAGCTCACTCTCAGAAGGCCAAGCGTACCATTTAGGCACCTGGGTTCCACGCGATCTTCTGATGGACAGGGAGAGTTGAGCAACATCCTCTTTGTGCTTCTCACTGTCGACTTCCCATGCTGTCTTATCATTCGTATAAGTTCCCTCAACATCAGCGCCGCAATCATGCAGTTGCTTGACAACAAGCAGGGCAGTATTCCCTATTAAGAAGGCAACAGTAGCCATCGGCAGTATTCTTCCCTTTCTCCCACGGGCTTCTAAATTGGCGCCCAACCCGACTACGGTCTTAATAGTCATAGGAATCAATTCAGGACGACTCCCGTAAATTGCATGCTCTAAGGCATGCCTGCCACTATTATATTTCAGGCAAAGATTGGTATCATGCTCAGCAAGTATTTCAAGCACTTCTGTCTGACCAGCTCCGGCGGCAAACATCGATGTTGTCCAAACAGTTTGATATTCTATCAACTTTGCGTTCGGACTCTTTCTGAGTAGTGCCCTGACAGTATCCAGATTACCTGACTGAACAGCAAGGTGGATGGATCGGTGCGCCACCGCCGTGATCTAAGGCATCCGCATCGGCGCCTTTATCAAGAAGTTTGCAGACACAGTCATAATCCCCAGATTGAGAAGCCAAGTGAAGGGGTGTCATCTTCAGGTAGGCTATTGGCTCCGTCGGGGCATTATGAGTGAGGAGTATTCCAACACAGTCTCCGTGACCTGTTTCTGCAGCCTAGTGTAGAGGCGTCTTCGCCTTTTCATCTTCAAGCTTGACTTCCGCACCGCTGCTGACCAAAGCTTTAGACCACATGGCCGTTTTTGGCGGCTATAGATAATGCAGTTTGGCCGTTACGATCTCTAGCATCCAGGAAGATCCCACTTCGACCCAGTGGCCCGAAAATGTTCTGGTGGCCTGCTACGGCTGCCTGATAAAACGAAGTCCTCCCGAAATGATCTCGGAGGTTTCGACTTGAGTTCTCTGATAGAAAAGATACAATGTCGATGACACGGGTCTTCTTGTCGTCTCTTGAAATGAAGTTTCTTTCTTTCGTGCTACTCTCGACGACGTGAGCAGATAGTGCTAAGTCGAACACCAGGAAAAGTGTTCCAGACAGAGTGCAAGGGTACGCATAATCGGCGACAGGCTCGTCGCCTTTCGTCAAATTGAAAGACGGGTGATAAGTCGCGAATCCTACATACACCAATACCCCTAGCTGAAGGGTCGCCCCGAAAATTGCGGCAAAGACGAGCTCGCAAGTAGTGGACTGGCCATGAGTATTCAACGAAACGTTGGGTGAGCCGTTGTCTAAGTTGCGCGTGATGAAGACCTTCTGTGATGAGCCTCCGCTTGTCGGGTCCACGATCTGATTTTCTTCGGACTGTGGTGGCACCGTTCCTGACTCTGCTTCGCTAGGTTGAATGATTGTTTCGGTCATCGAATTATAATCATTTTTACCCCCCTGCGACGTCGACCGAAGAGTTTAGCATCCGCTTAGATCAAGTTTTGAGACATCAAAGAAAATTTCAATGTTCTTACCAACTTCATCAAGAACGTCATCCAAACTTCTGATCTCTACGCCAAAATCGCTTGGTTTAGACGAAGGAGGCTTCTTGTTTGGCAGTAGACAGATAAACTCATACACCTGACAACTTCGTGCCCATTCCAAAGCTCACAGACTTCTTCAGATGTAGAAGACATCAGCTCTACTTCTGCAGCCGCCAAGTTCTCTCGGGCCCTTCTCCATGTCACTACAGCTTTAAGCCGAGAAGGGCCACCAACTCTTATAGCGCTGACAATATTCGTAATGATTCCTAGGGGTGCCACAGCTAGACTGATACTATCAGCTCAGTCCATAGAGTCGCTCATGAACTGCATGGTGACGCGTTCTCCGAAAAGCGCTTAGAGTCTGACTCGGCAACCGCCATTAGCAGACTACTCCACAGAAAATCGTTTATCACATGTGCTAACGGTGACAAGACAGAAAACAGATTATTGGAAAAGTCGTCTCCTCCGTCTGCGGCAACGCAAGTCACGGCTAAGATGCCGAGCCAGGCACAATGATACACTCAGTGTACATTCGACGACATTTGTCACGAGATAAGTATGACTAGGGTGACGCTCAGCGGTAGAGATGGGGGTAGACAGGGATATAGGCATACAAAAGGGGCTCCCTCAGGGGCTTCCTCCTTTTGTCCTTTCCATAGTTGATTAGACCACAGTTGAGATGCCTGTTTCCATGAGCTACTCTATATGCTGATTCGTGACAACATTGTATGTGACGGGGACAGGCTGCACGTACAGCAACACAGGAAGGCCTTCAGTATCCGGATGCTCTTAGTGAAATGGCTACTTGTAACGATGAAGTCGACCGCATGTAGTCCTGAAACGGTATAGCCTTCCGTACTAGTTGGTGTGGTCTTCAGAGGGATTCGGAGAAAGATACCGTCATCTTGATCTTGGAGAAAGGGGGGATCTTGAGGCACATATGGGTGGCTTTGGAATGCTCGTCAAGCAACGGGGGAGTTCTTTCAATGTTCAATTGACGACAAAAAAAGCGTCTCACATCACGTGTTGCATGTCGCTTGAGTATTCTCCCTTCGACCTATGATAGTTGTGAATGACTGACGTGTTGTCTTCAGCTAATGCCGCATCTTCTGTAAATAGTAACCTCTCCGACATCCACTGATAGTCTCGAGGCGGCTACCCGCCCGGGTTGGGACGCACTGCAGCAATTCGACCGAAGTGGTCGGCAGGAAGCTCCAGTTCGCAGATCTAAACACTTGTCTCACTTCTCAACTGCAAGCATGGTGGGGCTTGGAGACCCAGGCATCCAGGGTATGACACGTCTCGAGGACGGCCCATAACAGTGCTGCAAGTGTATTGATTCGGATCGTGGCTAGGTGGCGATGGTAAGGACTGTGAGGTGTCTCTGATCAAATCGAGGAAAGGCTGATTGAGTACTAGGAGGCTTATCGAAAGTTGCTCTTTTGGCAAGAAATCAGCTAGCAAGATATGGCCTCTTGTTGAAAAAATGTGGTGAGTGCTATTTAGGAAGCGATTTGATTCCTATCGGGGAAAACCGCAAGAGATTCGGCTATGCCATGTGCAACGAGAGTAGTACCTATTTACCTTGGTCACTAAAGTCTAGATGGTCACCGCGTATTCGCAATTCAATTCGCTTAAGGGTGACCACCACTTCATTGTAGAAGAGAAATGGGGAATAGGGTCTTGAATTATGGCAATCTTCATCTACCTTAGTAGCTGCCGAGCTTTGGGAAAACCATACTCGAACCTCAATCCACTACTACATGGCCAGTAAGAATCCATCTATGTAGCTGCCCTCGTCCTTGAAACTCGCTCGTAGACCAGATGAAGAACGCAGCAGTCTCATTGCATCGCGGAGATTAGTGATGTTATGAATGTTTTCTACGGTAAGAAGTACTGGCTTACTTCCTATATCGATCGAGCCATGCACTGTAACGCTCAAGAATTAATCTTCAGATGCCACAGTCGCTATGATGTAACCTCGACACCGTTCATCATGCCATTGGCTCGCCAATCTTCGAGAAATCTCACATAGGTATTCATTTCATGAGGAAATGGTGCTCCTCTAGCCAACTTCATTTGCGCCTCAGATGGGGCTTTTTCGCCCTCGTTATTCATATAGCTTGGTGTGCAGATAGACAAGCTGGAGAACCACGCCGCATGCTGCATAATCAAGCCGACGTATGCCTCTTCGCCCTCCAATGTGCTCTCGATGACCACCTCGCTGGTGCTTTTCCCCGCGCGCTTCATAGCTTCGACAAGTATGTATGCGCAGTGTTGAGAGAGAACGTCCTGGGCATAGGCAAAATTTGCCGTGGTGCCGATCTGCAAGGGGCCGGTCAGGAACAAGTTTGGAAACCCATTGGTGAGGACGCCGTGAAGGGTGGACGGACCCTTGTTCGACCACTTCTCCGACAAGAGTTCGCCATTCCGGCCCTTGATAGTCATGTTGGATCTACTCGATGGCTCAGCCATGTCTGCTGCAGGCGGCCTGTATCCTGTGCTCAGGACGATGACGTCGAGCGGGTAGTCTGTGCCATCGACAACAAGCGAATTCTTGGTAGCGTGATCAACTCCCTTGCCGTTTGTATCAACAAGGTGGACATTTGGTAGATTGAACGCAGGAAGGTAATCGTCATGGAAGGTCGGTCGCTTGCACCATGCTGGGTACCACGGCTTCAGAGCTTCGGCGACTGCCTTGTCCTTCACAATCTTCTCAACGCGGCGTCGGACTCTTTCTGACCTTGGTGCATCTAAGGCTAGAAGACCCCCGATATGACCGGGAATGTCTTCTAATCCAAGAGGCTTCTCATGTGGTGCGCCGACAAGGCCTTTATAGGTCTTCAGCTTCGTCCAGCCATCATCTACCAAGTTCTCTTCTGCCTCGCCGCCAGAAACGAAAATATTGAAGTTCTCAAGGCGACGCTTCTGCCAGCCAGGACCGTCGGCAATCTTCTTCCACTCTTCTGGATCAGTGTGCCTCTGACCTCTCTCGTCTACAGATGACGGCGTTCTTTGGAAGACGTAGAGCTCTTTTGCCCACTTGGCGAGCTGTGGAACAAGCTGGATGGCAGTCGCACCAGTGCCGATGATGCCAACCCGCTTTCCCTCCAGGCCAGTGAGCTGAACGTTTTCGAGGTCCTCCGTGTTTCCACCAGTGACGTTGTAGTTCCACCGTGCAGTATGGAACATGTCACCCTCAAAGGCTTCGAGGTTCTTGGCCGCTTTGGGGTGGTTTAAAACACCGTTGGCGAGAACAACAAACTGGGATCGAACCGTCATCATGATTGGCGACTCATTCGGGCCGCGGACCTGCTCGATGACTACGATCCATCGCTTGGAGTCCTCGTCCCACTCGTAGCTCTTGATCTGTGAGCGGAACAAAGCCTTATCTGTCAGGTCCCATGTCTTTGCCATCCGGTTCGCATGCGCTCGCAACTCGTTTCCATATGAGTATCGATGCTTCGGAATATAGCCGGTCTCCTCGAGGAGCGGCATGTAGGTATAGGATTCTACATCGCACATGAGACCGGGATAACGGTTCCAGTACCATGTGCCACCAAATCCGCCTGCAGCATCGATAAGGCGAATGTCTTCGGGCTTGAAGCCGGCCTGGATGAATCGAATGGCGAACAGCAAGCCCCCGTAGCCTGCGCCAAGGACAATGAACTTGACTTCGTCGCCGTCTTTGAGGCTCGGTGACTGGGCGTTGAGCTCCTCGTGGTCGACCCATGGATCTTGTGCCAATTTGCTGAACTGCACGTCCGTTTCCATTTCGATGTACTGCGCGTTGCCGTCAGACCGCTGGCGTTTCTCCTTCTCCTCGGTGTACTTCTTGTTGAGGGCCATGAAGTCGACCGCAGCGGCGCCGGCCGCTGTGTCTGCCGTTATCTGTGGAGATGCAGCCATGTTGACGTTTATTTGCAGGTCAAACTAAGACGTAGTTGAGGTAGGTGAGCCTACTCAACTTCCTATTTATTATTTTGGAGGAGGCGAATCGTCTGGTTTTGAGTCGCCAAAATATGGGGGCACACGTCCGTTGAGAGCAGTCCAAGCGGTGTCCCCAAACAGCTCTAGTGACATCTTCCATGCTCTTGTCTGTCGTCTGGTCTCAATTGGGGTTCCCCAAGATAGAAGAGGGCCGAGCATCCCCGCGTACCACAATATCTCTACGCCGAAGCGTGATTGCGGGTCGTCGTACTAGAGCTTCAATCTATGGATCAGTCGGGGAGTACTGTCTACCCGACGAGCCATTACTCGCTTGGCCGGGAGGGACCAGTATCTCCAGATCGACACGGACGTATTCGTATTCGTTCGTCGCATTTCGAGTGCAACATAGCAACATCGCTTAATGAAAGATGCGGTAGTTGATGGTGGATCTCCTCCTCTACCGGACCGAAACGATCTCAGGATCTACATAAACCCGCCAGGCTTTTAAGGGTCCGACTTCTGCTCCGCTGCATGGGTAGTTGTTGCGGAGAAGCTGTCGTCCAAAGAAGGCCAGATATGACAAAACTCCGCTTGGCCTGGTGTCAAACACCACCTGCATGTCTTGGTGGGCTATATTAGCTTCGAGTCTTGGTATAGGTTCAAACTTCAGGGAACTGGGGGACGAACCTGCGTGTCCCGTCTAGACCCTTGCCGATGGCGTATCTGCTGCTGCATCATGAGTCAATGGTGTCATTGTCTAACGGCTCGCTGCGCGTTGCCCTGTGCAGAGCGCTCGGTTTCGAGACCATCAACGCGACTGGCCCACCGCTACGAGACCGAAACCGATCAGATGACCCCATGAGCGGGTAGTTCCCGCTAGACTACGCGGGAGCGACCGTGTGCCACAGTCAACACGCCCGTTGTCACAACTAACTTAGCACAAGATGAGGACCGACGGGCGATGTTGACGTTCATGCCCTTCTCGCCTTCAAACGTAACTCTTCCGCCGATGTGGTATCAAAACCAGGAACCAGCTAACATCAACTGAAAATTCAATGCAGCCGGTCTGTGCGTGGACTCGGGAACGGTGTCTGGGGTACCGATTACAAAAGGATCTATCCGCACGTTCAAATGGCGTAGATCAGCGCGCGGCCATTGGCTGTGGACCAGATCCTCCAATCAGTGCAGTCAAGTGCCTTTTGATGTCAATTTACAGAGTGATCCGAGAGCCCAACACCGTCATAGACGAGGTACATCAGTACCAAGTGAGTACTTACAGAAAGTAAGGTAGGTTTCATTCTCAGTTGGGGAATGAGAGAAAGGATTCCCCCAATGTTCTGCTCATGCTCTTTGCTCGAAGATTGAGGTTTGGATCTCCATGCAACTGCACGTCGACGGTCCACGATCTAACAACCAACTGACATTTTTATCCACTTTAGTATCCATCGCACGGGCGCACCACCGTTGTTCCCCTGTCCAACTCACCCTCAACCCCCTGACTTTACCCCTCAAGCGAAGTGAGGGGTTCACACAGCAGATACGGGTACTTAGGTATCTGATTATCCAGCCTGGTGCATCATCGCCGGGGTCATTGCCTTGTGTGCTTAGTGAATACACAGACCGAAGCTCTGCTTGTTCAACAAGAAATAGCCGCAGGTCCTTGAAAGCTACCTTTCCATACCCGCATATCATATCTGACTTCCAAGCGATTCGCGATCATGGATACCGCCCCAGGAAATGAACTGAATCTTCCTGACTACGATGACCTTCCGCCAGTTGAAGGCATGCCCAAGGGTTGTGTCTGGGGACTTTTCGACAAGGATGGAAAGAAAGACCTCTTCGGGACCTTGAACTTGCTCACCCCTCCAGTTGTGAAGGCAGCCAGCGCTAAGATTCACGATGGCGTATCCATCTCTTTGAAGTAAGACATCAACATCACCAGTGCATGCTACCTTATCTGAAACAAACGTTTCTTAGCTGACAAGATGGTTCATAGTTGGCCTCTGGATAGCATGAACAAGCTGGCTATCCCAGGACGCAAGCAATCGGTTCATAAGGTGCACTCGCTGCAGACAGGCGGACTCAGTCAAGGGGTTGGCTGGGACGACGAGCTGGAATTCAACACGCAAGGTAGCAGTCAGTGGGACAGCTTAGTTCACTGGCAGCATCAGCCGACGGGATTCGCCTACAATGGCTTCAAGCCAACACAAGAAGAACTATCAGCGACATCTACGGCAACAAATAAAATGCCCACCATTGACCACTGGCATGAGCGAGGTGGCGTGGTGGGTCGTGGAGTCTTGATCGACTACAAGGCATACGCTGACGCGAAGGGGATCGACTACCATCCCATGGATGGCTACCGCATCACTATCGAAGACATTGAGGCTGTAGCTAAACATCAAGGCTTAGGGTTCAAGCATGGCGACATTTTTTTGCTTAGAACAGGCATCACTGAGATCATAGATAAGCCTACACCGGACGATTTCGCCAAGTTAGGGCAGTATAGGTTGTCGGGCGTACATGGCACGGAGGAGACGGCCAAGTGGTTCTGGAACAAGCACTTCGCTGCTGTTGCTGGAGACTCTAACGCCTTTGAGGCATTCCCACCTGTCAAACCAGACGGAAGTCCAGCAGAGATGACTGATCTTGGTACGTCGTTGCGATATGCTGAAAGAAAACCATAGCAGGATGAATATGGCTGACCTTTGCTCAAGTCCTCCACCCCTACTTCTTGAGTCTATTCGGCATGCCCATTGGCGAGCTATGGGATCTCAGTCGTCTGTCGGCATACTGCAAGAAGACAGGGAGGTATTCATTCTTCTTGACCTCCGCGCCGATGAATGTTTCTTGTCTTGTAGGATCGCCGCCCAATGCCCTGGCCATATTCTAGACGGTGGCGAATCTTACGGAAAATCAAAGATTACACGAAGATACAAAGCAGAACGGTCACTCGTTACTATGTAGAACAGATGATGAACAAGATGACTGGAAACAATCATTATCATTAAAAGCTAATTGGTATCAAACATCATTGGCCCATCACGGAGCACAACTCTTCCCTTTCATGCATCCCAGCATCTAGTACCTCGAGCTGTCTCTGCCAATACTACACAGGAACGTTGTAGCGTTGCGGAAGTCACGGATACTGACAATCCTCCTCACTGCATAGCAGCATAGACGAAGCCGGCAGCAGCGGCAGCGGCAACAACCATACCAGTCTCCCTCGGTCCGGCGCCCTCGCTGGTGAGCGCGGCTAGCTTGCTGCTGCAGTAGCCACCAGAGGCCAGTAAGCTCTTGACCTCAGCCGAGATGATGGGAATATCAGTGCACTCGTGCCACACGGCCCGCATCTCCGACATGTGGGCAGTCTGCCATGACATGACGGCGTTTGACCAAGAGGTGTACTGGGCGCTCATCGAGTCCGTGACGGAGACGGTGCTGCAAGGGTCTACCGTGGAGTTGGCGACGGACGCGGTGGCGGCCCACTCCAGAAGGGCGAAATTCGGCGTGGGGAGGGGGTCGGAGCCGGTGACGGCGCTGGCGAAGGCGTAGACAGCGTTTGTACACTCGGGCGTGCCGCGGGCTTCAAGGACCTTGATGATCTTGGTCGGCTCGATTCTCTTATGAAGCTGGAGGTGGACATCGCCGACGGCGGCAACAGTTGCGGCGAGAGCGCCGAAGATGACGGTAGTAACGCGCATGTTGGATAGATGACAAGAGTCAAGTAGAAGACTGTTTCCAGTGTTGAGGCTCGGGAGTGCTCTTGTAAACAAAGAGTGACAACAAGATGTTAATAGTATTATTTGATTGATGGGATAACAGAACTGAGGCCGTTATTTGTTACTGGGACAGGCGACTATTTATCCTCGGGGAACAAATGTCATATGAGATCTATCGTGGGCTGATGCCTACGAGCAACCAGAGGTACCCTTGCCACATGACTCCAGCGAGGAAATGAATTTCCTAGGGCGAACTGAAAACAAAGCCGACCAGTTTCCCTTCCAGGTTAACTCAATGGCACCCAACAACATTATTTAGGACAAGCTTCTGACTGTGCCGCCCGGCTGCCTATGAAGCGCATCTTGGCGCTGAATGGGATTGAAATCTAAGCCGGTTGATAGGGCCGAAGGGGGCGGTTGGTTGCTGTCTGACCCCGTAATGAATTTCCGCTCTCAGCCGAACCCTGGTCCTGTCAGCCTAGGCTACCAGCCAACAAAACAGCGTTCACTCGGCATTCGGGCGGTGAGGAGGATCACGAGGAGATTCTGGGGGCTGAACACATAAGTATGTGGCATTGTACTCTCATCTCGGGCGATGGCAGAGTAAGTTGTCAGACAGCCAATGTCTTGAATAATACTGTGTCGCTCGTGTTTCCCCCCTTACCTTAGAGGTAAAGCCTCAGTGAGTGTCACAAGCTGTGTCACACAGAGAAAAAAGGGCTTGAATTGGATTGGCAGCTGATTTTGGCTTAGACTGTGAGGATCGGCCTCAATTCTCTCATGCCAGGGGTTCAAATTTAAGCGGAGCTGTGCCGGTACCTGCATAAGCTATGGTACCGAGACCTTCGAGCCAATTCCGCCGTTTGCTGACATGGGTTACCAAAGTCCCAATCTTGGAGAAAAGTCGACTTTGAGTTGGAACCCGTCACAGCGTATGCTCGTCATGACCGTAAAGTGAACAGGCCTAGAAGAATAACCAGCGACATGGCAAGCGCTGACTCTGACTACGATATAATATGTCGCCGCAGATTTATGGTGGTCAGCATTAAAGCATCATGGGTCAAATTCGACTACGGTGTCACATGCCATCGGCCTAAGAGCCCCGCAAGTGATGAATTTTGAAGTTAATGCAATCAAGGGGAATGACATGAAAATTTGGGGGGTGCTGATATCCACGTTACAAGCCTTGAAGTCTAGAGCTGGCTCTCGCGGATACCGAGTAATTTGCACATCGTGCAGATTACCGGAAGTTACACTTTTAAATTGACACTCGAACGCTTTCACCTTGGATTTTAAGAAAAAATCTATCGTTTCCGGGTTTCACCAGGTTAGCGATTACAGTGAAGGTGACCGGGAATTATCGAAGTGATCGTCGGCCAGATCAGGTACTTGGAACTAGGAGGCTGCTTTAATCAAGGCCATGATCAAGATCACTTTGCCCATCCATTGGATGATGATTGTAAATGAGACATCAATACTTGGATTATTGATGACAGAAAGAAGGTCGCAGTTGAAGTTGCATCTGTTTAGGTTGTTATCGTTACGTTTCTCTAGAGAACGATGATTGACGAGTGAATTTGAGTTGACACCTGTCACGAGTTATGGCACGTAGCAATGGGCATATGAAGTGGGTTAAAGTGGTTTGAAGCAACCCATCTAGAAGAGCACTTGAGAGCAGTCTATATACTAAGAGAATGTGATATCCACGTGAGAAAGCACGTAGAAAGGTGCTTGACAAGTGCTGATACCATTCCTGTTTCGTGACAACACCGGAGTTCGCACCGGAACTATGTGACTATAGTTACTAGCGTACTTTGCACCGACCGATGATGTATAAAAAAACTCAACTATATTGCGATATGGCTCATCGACCGCTGACGCTTTTTAATCGTACCTTTAGCTGAGACGGAACGCCTTGACATGTGTCACGGGTTGATGGTCAAGGCGATTGGATCGAAGCTTTATCTAGCGCCTCTCGACAAGTCCAAAGTGCGCAAAATTCTTGATATCGGGACTGGGACTGGCTTATGTGAGACGGGATCATATCTCATGATGTACAAAATGGCTGAACAAATTATTCACAGCGGCTGCTGAGATTGGTGACATTTTCACGGACGCGGAAGTCATCGGTAACGACCTAAGCGCTATACAGCCAAGCTGGTAGGTCTCCCTGGCTCATTCTGTTTGCATCCTTGATCTCGGTTTCAGGACGGCATTCTAATGACGCAGCTTTAGGGCCCCTCCCAATGTTCGATTTGAAGTCAACGACGTTGAAAGTCCTTGAGATGAGCAAAAGTACGATTACATCATATGCCGATACATGGCCGGCTCGATCCTCGACTGGCCAAAGCTGGTGAAGGAACTCTATGAGTCAGTACAAATATCCGGCTCTTGCTCACAACCTTGCAACTCCATGTCCTAGGAAGTCGCTGACGTTTGGATGAGATTAGCCACCTCAACCCAGGAGGATGGGCCGAGTTTCAGAAGATGATCTGCGAATACTATTCTGACGACGGTAGACACACCGCTAAGCACGCTAGTTGGGGCTGGAACAAGACCTTGGTGAGGACTCTGGAGAGCATTGGCCGCGATCCCAATCCCACCCCAAAGGTGAAGGGCTGGGTGGTAGATGCCGGCTTCCAAAGCGTCTTCCACCAAAAGTTCAAGACCCCCATCGGGCCTTAGCCCAAGGACCCTCACTACAAAGAGGTTGGTCTGCTCAACTTGGCGCAAAAACTGGAGGGTCTAGAGGCCTTCTCAATGAAGCTGATGTGTGGTGTTCTCGAGCGGACTAGAGAGGAAGCTCTAGCGCAAATTCAAGAGGTTAGGAAAGAGTTGAAGTCGGGTGTTTTCCATGCCTTATCTGACCTGTGAGTTACACCGAGCTGACCTTTTCCCTGGCATGTCTTTTCACTGACGGTTCTGGGTTGGTAGTCGTGTAGTTTGCGGGCAGAAGCCCTCTGATGAGGAGGAAGAGGCGTAGATCACAGGCACTATGCCAACCGCGCTGAATCGCCACAACGTAAACCGACGAGCGCATTTACCTATCTGGCACTTGACATACGGAAGAATTGAACATCTGTTGTTTTGCGATTCGATTCTTCCAACTTGCGAGTAATATACTCGCATCGCGGAAAGAATCAATCCTGATGTCGGGCATATTGGTGCAGGAGTTGTGGATCTGTAGAAGGGTATGAGCACCCGTGGGAACGCCTTGAAAAGCGCTTACAGCAGTCAGGGCATGTTGCCAAGGACCAAGAATGACCCAGATATCTTTCTCAAGGGGAACTTCAAGTCTCGAGGTCGTCTCCCTCGGCATAGTTGTGTTTTTTTAGAAAAAAAAAGAGAAAAAAAGAAGAAAAAATAAGGGGGGGGGGGGCTCTACCTAAAAGACGTGAGTAATCAATCGCATGCCATCTGTGTTGCGGTCATTCTGTTAATTACTGCTCCAACTGAATTCAGGACATCCCAGTTCATGGTATTGTGGATGGTGGGGTGTGGGTGGGCAGCATGACGCGGGAGAAGTCTGTGGAAATACCAAACCATTGGGCGAACGAACTAGTTTCTGAGTTTTTTGGTGGGAACAATCGCGGAGGCGACATGCGTAAATTTTGTCACGCAGATCGAACCCTAAAGCTTGCTCGGAACAACTGCACACAGAACTGGATCTTGCTTCGTGACCTTCTTGACCTCGGCAAGTCTAGTTGTTCCATCCCTGACAAGTAAGAGCATAAGGCAATCTTTGCGGCTATCCCGTACTATCTGATCCGCTACATATCACAGTAGCATCAACGGCAGAATTTTGTGACGCCAGCACTCCTCCGAAATGGCGCACCAAAACGGTGGAAATACGGTCTTGCTGACCGAGGAAGAGGCTCAGCGCATTCGGACCACCGTGCAAGAAACACAAAAGAAATGCTCAACGCAAAAGGGCAACGCCAGAGAGTTTCGGGATGCTCACGCTACCGTTAGCCAAGCGACGGGAACCTCTCTCATGATGGACATGGGTCAAATGAGTGGTCAAGGTCAAGAGGACACAATCCCAGCACTTGGTGTTGGACAGGCATACCCACCAAGCACCGCATCTTTGGAGGAGTTAAAGCCTATGTCGTTTTCGGAACTCACAATAGAGACACATCACCGTGGTCGTTCTTTGACAGTGCAGCGTGCGAGGCGCTGTCCTGTGGTGGCGCTTGCTGTTCGCTCATGGACTGTCGTTCAAGACGAGAAGGAGAAGGAGACTGAGCGCTTGGAGATGGTGTTGCATAAGACGACAGATGGCGAAGATACCCTTGAGTCGGCACGGCGTTTCATAATCAAGGAGCCGTATTTTACTCTGACGGAAGAGGGCGAGGCTACACTTCGGATCGATCACCCCTCTGACCTCGTCATTATCAATGAGGAGATCGTGAAAGGCAGCTTAACCGAGATCGAAGATGGAACTAAAGGGGATGAAATCGCAAGGAAGTGTAAGGATAAGGGAAACGCGGCACTACAGAAGAAGGACCTCCCTCTCACTCGGACAAGCTACACTCAAGGAATCAAGGTTGCCAGGCAAGGGCCTGTTCAGAAAACGAACCCTGATATCGCACGAGACATTGCGCGGAACCGAGCTCATGCACATCTCCTTATGGACCGACAAGACGAAGCCATCGCCGACGCTAAAGCTTCTCTCATTGGGGCCGACGACCAAAAGTCCAAGGAACTCGACAGCAAAGCCTACTTCCGCGCTGGTAGCGGCGCTTATAACCTTGGCCAGTTCGAAGAGGCCAAGAAGTACTTTGAGAAGGCCCACGAACTCGCGCCCGCGGAGAGAGGCGCTGCCGTCTATCTGCGCATGGTGGATATACGACTTCGCGAACAGGAAAAGGGGTCGTATGACCTACAAAAGATTAGGGCCAAACTGACTAGAGTCTCACCGCGGGCCGATGCGGCGACCTTCACAGCCAAGACTGAGGTCAAGGACAGCAAGGGACGAGGCCGTGGCTTATTTGCGACCTGCGACATTGCTGCTGGGGAGATTGTTATGGTCGAGAAGGCTTTCTGCGTTGTCTGGGGCCACGAGAGTGAGGTTTTGACCGCGATGACTTACGATATCCGCGATGACAAGATTAGGGTGGCGCCCGTCGGCTTGACCAAGGCCATCTCGCAGAAGCTCCTAAGGAATCCTTCCCAGATCGCAAAAGTGCTAGATCTCTACGGGGATTATCAGGGCGAGGTCAAGGCTGCGTCCGAGACGCCAGAAGGCCCAGTAGTCGACGTCTTCCGGATCCACGACATTGTCTGTCGCAACGCCTTTGGACCCGGCGGCCAGTACGGAGAAGAGGGCGCCAGGAACGCAAGCACGGGTCTCTGGGTCTGGGCAGCGTACATCAATCACTCATGCATCGCCAACGCCAAGAAGGACTACGTCGGCGACCTGATGGTTCTTCGTGCGCTTCGACATATCGCCAAGGGCGAGGAAATCTTCCACAGCTACGACGAGTCGAGCAACTACGAGGCGAGACAGAAGGCTCTTATGACGACGTGGGGCTTCGAATGTAGCTGCGCACTATGCGCTGGCGAGAAGACCGACGACGCTAAGTTGCGCCAGAAGCGGCAAATCCTACTCAACGACGCAGATGACTTTGTTTCGACAACACACTGGACTAACGCGAAGAGAATCACTATTGCCAAGGCTCAGCGCCTGGCTAAAGAAATCGACGCGACATACGAAGACAAGAAGTACGAGGGCGTTCCTCGTCTTGCATCAGAGAGAGTCCGGGAATGGCTCACAAAGGCAGCTCCTCGCAAGTGAGCTGTGAGCATGAAGGCGTAGAATTCTGCAATATTGGATAGACTTTTCGGCCTCGTTATAGACGAGAATAGCAGAAATATCGATCTACCTGCATTCACTATGGACCTACCCAGATGAGCCGCCGCATCACATCAAATCCTCTGGCTCATGCTGAGTGGACATTTCCACTAGCCATAACGGTGTTGCGGCCTCTCTTCGATGTTTATGAGTGAGATTTTGTGAACCACCTTAGCGTTATTAGCCCAGTCTGCAACTGACAACTGCTGTCAATGGACATCTTTCGCCCTCCTTTCTTGATGCTGTAGAACCTGCCGGAACCTCGGGGTTGAAATAACGAAGAAGCTAGTCCGCTCATCGCCGCGAAGCTGAGATGCTTCTCTTCAGTTCGACTTTGTGAGTCGACATGTAGGAGGCCTTAACTTCGGAGCACTCTATCAAGAACCCAAGGTTGTGGTGCGCTGATCATGTTACAATATATGAAAGCTGTCTCTTTTGGGGAGAACAGGGTTATTGCTCGCTGAGAGCGGAACCGCATGGGCTTTGCGGAACCGCAACTCCTGATATTGTACCATGTCACCGGCGCGACAACAAGGGGACATCGTCCCCCATGATCAACGAAGGTGTTCAGTTAGCCGATTGCGGGGGAAGACTCCAGCATCCGACAGGCTCTCTGTGAAGTCGGTCCTGGTTTCCGTGCATGCCGAGACGAACCACAGACTCAGAATCAGGTGCTTCCCCTCTTCTGCAGGCAATATCCCCACATCAGCCCCAGACATCACGGAATGTCAGCCCATTAGCTCACAACCTGCTCGTCACTCATATGATCTGACAATTCCCAGTCCAGATCCTCGGGATTGTTGGTTTCGATATTTACCAAGGAACGATCCAATTCCGCCATTGCTAGTGAGGAACTTACAGCCTGTTTGATTTCAGATGCCATTTGACTCACCTTGATTTGATCATATAACCTCGCTGGTAGTCACGAAATATCGTCCATCATGGCGGCTATATCACGAGTAGCCAAATCTTCTATGCTTCGAGCTTCAAAGTCAGCGTTACCTGTACTAGCGGCCTCGAGTCGAGCGACCTGCTTTTCCCCAGCCTTGACTCGTACAAATTTGAGCCCCGCCGGCTCATTGTTGATGCGACATCTCTCAACGATGAAGGCTCTTGTCTACGACGGCTCCAACTCAGTATCGTTGAAGGATAAGCCTCTCCCTACCATATCAAAACCAACCGATGTCATCGTCAAAGTCACCAAGACAACTATCTGCGGAACAGACCTCCACATTCGCAAGGGCGACGTAGCGACATGCCAACCAGGCACGACATTGGGCCACGAGGGTGTGGGCATCATCCACTCAACGGGAGCCTCAGTTTCACGATTTAAAGAGGGAGATCGGGTTCTCATCTCATGCATTTCCAGCTGCGCGACGTGCGAGTACTGCCGCCGGGGCATGTACAGCCACTGCACGTCCGGCGGGTGGATCCTCGGAAACACCATTGACGGTACCCAAGCCGAATACGTCCGTATTCCCCACGCCGAATCTAGTCTCCATCCGATCCCGGATGGCGCCGATGACTCCTCACTAGTGATGTTGAGTGATATCTTCCCGACAGGACTTGAATGTGGTGTGCTTAACGGCAAAGTCCAGCCAGGCGGTACTGTCGCTATTGTGGGCTCGGGTCCGATCGGTCTGGCGGCTATCATTACGGCTCAGATGTACTCTCCGTCTCAAATCATTGCCATCGATATGGATCCGAAGAGACTTGATGTTGCAAGGCAATTTGGTGCGACCGAAACCATTGACAGCTCCAGGACCGATGCTGTGACCAAGGTTAAAGAGTTGACTGAGGGTAAGGGCGCTGACTCGGTCATTGAAGCGGTGGGGATCCCCGCAACCTTTGATCTCTGCCAGAGCCTGCTCGCACCTGGCGGTGTCCTAGCCAACGTGGGAGTCCATGGAACCAAGGTTGATCTTCATCTTCAAAATCTGTGGGACAAGAATATTTGTGAGTTCAAATCATCAGGCTATTAAGACGATCAGAAGCGTGGACGTCCATTCTAACTCAAATGTACAGCAATTACGACTAGACTTGTGGATACAACAACGACACCGATGCTTTTGAAACTTGTCCAGTCGGGCAAGTTGCAGCCCTCGCAACTAATTACCCACCGTAAGGACCTCTACTACCGTGACATGCTAAAGTATGAGAACGTGACTGACAGGAGCCCCAGACTTCAAGCTTGGCGACATGGAGAAGGCATATGATACCTTCGGAGAAGCGTCTAAACACGGTGCTTTGAAGGTTGTGATTGATGTGGATTGAGACTCTGGAAACCATATATCCTTGTTTGATACCATAAAAAAATCCCAATCTTGGAGGGAAATTTCAGAGTCCGGATATCAGTACTGAGTGCTTAATAATAGTAGAGTTGTTGTACATAAGGTAATTGTGTGGAATATGGAGAAGCAAGTTCTCGTAACTCACCTACATAGAGGGCTGCCGGCGTCGTCCTACCCTAATCGCAGAAGCCAAGGCTGACAGAAATCAACTATACCAAATGGACCTATGCCTTTTATCAGTGTGATGTCAGTGGTGCAGAGACTCAGGTCGGGGTTGCAATTATTCTACTGAGATCAACCATTGTCGGTGGCTTTGTCGACTCCCACAATTCTGCAGATGCTTTACCATGTCACTGGCAAGTAGAATCGATTTATTATCTTGCGCCAATCTCTTCGTACTTCTGCCACATATCATCTCGAACGAATTACGGGGGAAATAATTTATGCACCTTTATCAGAATCGGGTGATTTACATATTTCCATCCTACTACAGCATGGTAGACAGAGCAAGGAGTACAGACGTTGGCTTCCTTTCCATGGGGTCATCCTGCCTTATCAACCCCGCGTCGAAAGCACTACGAGTGGGAGCCGGGGCGAGCTAGGCACATCCAAATTCGGAAACATGTTGGACCATTTCATTGACATCCATATTTATGACCTATTCCAAGGCACATCGAATCCACAGAACATACAATCTTATCGACATAACTGCACAGACTCCCAAAGAAGCTGCACGCATCTTACCGCGTCTCCGGGTTCCGGTGGAGGCATTTTCCCCCACGTTCAACGCCCGCGAGAGGATCACCGCGAGGCCAGCTTCTGGCTTCACGTCGCATCGGGCGCAGTAATCCTCGCGCGTGCACGGCCTTCTTGGGCAGTAAATCTCCAGAAATTAGATACCGCATTGATAAGACTGCTTGGAAAGGTGGCATTCACAGCCTGCTAACCTGCGCCTAACACATGCTTCGAGGGGTTGGCTTAGCAGTCCTTGACCATCTCTTACCCTCGTACGGTTTAGCGCCGGCATGGATGAGGCCTCAGAGTTTGGAAAAGGGCCCGATGGTCCATGCATCAGTTTGATGGTCTACCAGTCCGCCTCGTTGGCCTTCAACCGGCTGGAAATGAGGTGGTAGTGTAGAATTTTCAGTGCTTAGGGGCAGAGCAGAATTTCGGCCGGATTGTATATTATTGTCGAGCCGCCTCTGGTGCTCTTGATGGTCTCCCGTATGGGCCGTGCCAGCAACCATCATGACAAACACGACCATCACATTCGATGTTCCGGGCACGGTGCAGCTAGTCGACACTCAAGGCGTTCTCGACGTGAAGCATGGCTCGGAGCACACGAACATCGTTCTTGTTCCGCAACCGAGCAGCGATCCGAATGATCCGCTATCATGGACGCGAAAGCGCAAGGCCTTCAACATCTCTTGGGTCATGACATGGTGCTTCTTCGGTGCTGCCATGATATCCGGCCTGTCTCCCGCCTACCTCCAGATCGAAGCAGACACCGGCATCTCCGTCGCGGACCTTAGCACCGGCAATGGCCTTATGTACCTCTTTCTCGGCTGGGGCACTCTGCTCACCCAAAACTTCGCGCTCAATTACGGACGACGCCCGACTCTTTTCTACTCTATGGTCTCGATGACCTTCATCAGTCTATGGACTGCCTACGTCAAGTCCCGGGCCGAATTCTTCGTGAACCGCATCATCATCGGCATCGTGTCTTCGCCAATGGAGACTCTCATCGAAGTCATAATCGACGACCTCTATTTCGTCCATCAGCGAGGCTTTTACATGGGAATCTACAGTTGGACGCTGTGGTGCGGTGCCTTCCTCTGTCCAGTCGCCACTGGCTTCATCGCCGAAGACCTGGGTTGGCGTTGGATCCAGTACATCATGTCCATCATAGGAGGCGCAGTAACCATTTTGACCTTTCTTTTCTTCGAAGAAACCATGTTCTACAGGCCCAGTCTACAAACCGATATCCGTGGCATCTCCGATCAGCAACGGGGTGTTTTTGATAGCGACAAGAGCGCGGTCGACACGGAGCCGTCCGATGACAGAAAACCTCAAACCGCAAATGATTTGACCACAGTCAACTCTGACAACGAGACACGCACTTCGACGACCCGCTTCGAGGCAGCATCCGATAAGCCTTTTTGGTCTAGGTTCAAGCTATGGGGCTATCGAGATGACCGAAAACCGAAACAGCTGAAGCAGTCTCTTCTACCATTTTACCTCCTTCGATTTCCTTCCGTCATCTTCGCGGGTATTCTGGTTGGGGGGATTCTCTCGTGGTACAACGTGGTCGGCGGCTCCTTGGCCCTCATCCTCGGCAACCCACCATATAACTTTGGTTCGAACGTCATCGGTCTTTTTTACCTTGCTTCGGTGATTGGGGTCTCGATAGGATGCCTGATATCAAGCTGGGCCAGTGATGCCTTGTCGGTATGGATGGCTCGCCGACATGGAGGTGTTATGGAACCAGAGCATCGTCTTTGGTTGTGCTTCCTGGCTATCATAGCCCACCCGGTCGGTTGCATCTTGTACGGCGTAGGGGCCTCATACCATATCCACTGGGTCGGTATTGCTCTTGGGTTGGCCTTAATCTCTGTTACTCTTCCACTGGGAACAAGCATGGCGTTCACATACATCCTTGACAGCTTCAAGGACCTGGCTGGTGAGGGATTCGTGTCGGCTATTCTCATTCGCAACACCATGGGTAAGTTGATGTCGTCTTTTCTCTCGGCACTCTAATTAACCATGCCTAGGCTTCGCTTTCAGCTACGCTGTAGTACCTATGATCAATAGTATTGGCCTCCGAGATGCCTTCATAGTGACCGCTGTTCTTGGAGTAACATTCTGGGCACTATGTTTGGTCATGATGTACATAGGAAAGCCCTTACGACGTTTTGCAGCGCCTCATTATTGGGACATGGTTGAAAAGCATAGCCTATCCGGACACTGAGTCTCTTTAGAGAATTAGCCACGTCTCATGCGTGATGACTTTAATGCAATGCTTCTCGCGCTTCCTACACATGCAACGCGAACAAACGAAATTCAACCATAATTACTGTGTTTTGGTGATGGAGCTCCTTGCAGTCACATCCAAACTTAACTCGGTTCCTTCCAGATACTTGCCAGCGTCAAATACAACGCAGTTTACTTTGATAGGTCTCGGAGTACGCCTAGAAATTCCTCGCATATGTTGCTTTGTATCACAATTCTACCTCTAGTACATCGAAGTATTATTACAACGATGACGACAAAGTTTAGAAAATACTCTTCCTTTTCTGGCATATGATATTCTGCTTGTGAGGTGGATCAATTGCATCGTCTCAGGGATTCTACTTTAGCAGAGCATACATACGAATACAAGCCCAGGATATTCTAGTGATGATTCAGCCGACTTGTGTGAGTACTTCTGGACAGGAAAGGTTGAGTCATTATGATGTTGGACTGTAAAGTTTAGTCGTGCCCTCCATTCCACGAGAAACATCTTTCCGAATGTAGTAGCAAAATTGACCACCTTGAGGCTTACGCTGTGTAATACCTTTCGAGCTAGCCCTCAAAGTTGATTGACTTGGCCCCTCTATCAATGGGTAAGATAGATGAACTGAAAGGGGCAACCCGAAGGCATATTATGCAATACTAGAGCAGTACGAGCTTGGCATTATTTAAACATAAAGACCCCCCGCTCCGAGCTTGAAGCCCCGCACTGACTGCATGCAGGCTACTTGAGCCTCTTGGCTACCTTCCTTGGTCGCCCTCCAAGTAGATAAGTAGCTCAGAAATGCTACTGGTGCGCCCCCGGGATATGTTCCTACCAAGCCTGCTGATAATTCTTCTAAACACAATCAGTTGAGCCCAGAACAGTTCACCACAGTCTTCAACATGGCTTCCGCCCAATTCTTCAATTATCCAGGCACCGAGTCTAATGCGGAGCAATATCACTACTCCCAAGCCGTAAAGATCGGGAATATCGTTCGCACATCCGGTCAGGGCGGCTGGGACGAGAATGGCAACATCACAACCGACTTCGAAAAGCAGATCACCATTGCGTTTGAGAATGCGCTTAAAGCTCTCCAAGCTGTCCATCCCCGTCTCGGCTTCAAAGACATTTACGCGATTCGCTCCTATCATCTTGACATGGACTCGAGTTTCGACGTCATGACGGCGACTTTCAAGAAATTGTTCCCGAATCATCGACCTATCTGGACATGTACGCAGATTGGCAAGCTTGGACTAGAAGGAATGCATGTTGAGATTGAGGTCGAGGCGTTGATTCCTGTCTAAGGAAATCGGATACGGGATGCCTAGGAAACTTTCACAATCTTGTTGCCTAGGCACGATCCATACTGGAGCGATTTTGTCTTTTTTTCTTTGAGTACTTCGATGTTGTGAATTTCAGTATTTGCATCATCACCAATCACCGAGAGCAGCATTATATAAGTAGCCTTCAACGGCCTCTGACTATGAAGAAACCGATGTGATTGTGTAATACCCCTTGACTTTATTACGAATCGTTATTTGGCAGCAGCCAGCCCAAAGTTTATGTTACCAGCTTCAAGGGGCCATTGCCAGACCGTAGAATACTAGAAGTCTCAAATAGAGTTCAACACTTCAGTATTCGTAAGCTACTGATAATTCTCCGACTTGTGATTGAGGATTTACATTGATACCTAGTGTCCATAGTTTCCACAACTCTGGCAGAAGGTCCAAGCCAAGACGCAAGTTCATCCTGACACAAACTCGGCTGCGCATGCAGCAGTGATGCAACCCGCAGCCAAGCTCACTGCTGGCGGAACTATGATTGGCAGCACTGAAGTAAGTTTAGTTTGTTTGCTCCCCGTCCAGGCCCGTCCAGGGCGGTTGAGAAACCTTCGTGTGGTAATAGTCGTGCTGCATGGGCCAAAGTTGAGGCCTACGCAACGTCGCAACCAAGCTAGAAGTAAGTTGAGGTGTAGTGGTGGGTTGCCTGTCTCGAATACCCAGTTCCGACTTGAGACTGGGCAAAATGTCTCATGCTTCGTACCCGTAATCTGGAATCACCCCAAGCAATCAAAGAGTTGAGCTTCCACTTTCCCGGACATCTAATTCAAGCTATCCGACCACCCTTTTAGCTACACCTCAACAACCCCGCGCCAATGGTCAAAAAAGTTGCCTAATTCGGACAGCTCCTGCGGGAAACCCCGCACCCCTCTCAACGGCGTTGGGATGGCTGAAATTGAAGCCGCACAACTTGGAGTAGGTGGGGAGAAGTAGGGATCCGTAACCTCGGTGGGCTCAAAGGGCCATGAGACGGGATCTTGTCCATCTTTTGTCTGCTTCAGGATTTCCGAGCCGCCAGTGTGGCTCCGTCTGATAGCTATTTGCTGATGATCTGCAGAATTACACAGATCCGCTCCCCCACTTGTCTAGGACACTTTGATGGCGGAGACTCAATGATCCCATTTATTGCCTAGTCTGTCCGACGTGCATTGACAGCTTGCATAAATAAGAGGGCGGGCTACCTCTCGTCTTCGACTTAAGGCAAGACACACTGCGCTGATTTGTTCAAAAGTAAAAGTCTTGTTTTCTTTCCCTTGCCCACATACCTCAGAGTCCAGGATGTCAGCTTCTACATTGGACCTCACAGCGCCGAATGGCACGAAGATCGCCCTGCCTACCGGTCTCTTCATCAATAATGAGTTCGTTAAGGCAAGCTCAGGATCGAAAATCACAGCCATCAATCCGAGGTAGGATAACGATTCAGACTCGCCTAGGCATCTGTTTTTCATCTGTTTCTCATGAGACTAATGACATTGAAGTGATGAATCTGAGATCGCCGCAGTTGAAGCCGCATCGCCCGAGGACGTTGACAAGGCCGTAAAGGCAGCACGTGCAGCGCTTAATGCCCCGGGCTGGGGTGATATCTCTGCTACGGACCGAGGCAGGTTGATGTACAAGCTCGCCGACATCGTCGAGGCAAATCAAGAGACTCTCGCCACGCTCGAGACGTGGAATGGCGGAAAGCCGTATGGCGTGGCCCTCGGAGAAGATGTTGCAGAAACAATTTCGACGTTACGTTACTACGCTGGCTGGGCCGACAAGATCCACGGCGAGACTATTCCGACAACCCCTCAGAAGTTTGCGTATACATTGAAGCAGCCGATTGGAGTTTGTGGACAAATCATCCCTTGGAATTATCCAATCATGATGGCGGCGTGGTCAGTGAATTTGCTTCCTCAAGTGACTAAAGGTGAACTAACGCACCTCCTAGGAAGCTCGGTCCGGCGCTGGCGTGTGGCAACACAGTGGTTCTGAAACCTGCTGAACAGACGCCTCTCTCTGTCTTATACTTTGCGACTTTGATCAAGGAAGCTGGGTTCCCTCCAGGCGTCATTAACATTGTGAATGGCTTTGGAAGGGAGGCGGGTAGTGCCCTGGTTTCTCACACCGATGTTGATAAAGTCGCCTTTACCGGCTCCACCGCAACCGGAAGACAGATTATGAAATCTGCGAGCGTCAACCTCAAGAATATCACGCTAGAGACCGGCGGAAAGTCACCTCTTGTCGTCTTCAGCGACGCTGATCTCGACCAAGCAGCGAAATGGGGCCATGTTGGCATCATGAGCAACCAAGGCCAAATCTGCACCTCTACTTCCAGGATCCTGGTTCAAGAAGATGTCTACCAAGACTACGTTGCACGATTCAAGGCGATATGTCTGGAGAACAAGGTTGGCAACCCATTCGATGACGACACGTTCCAAGGACCTCAGATCACGAAGGTCCAGTATGAGAAGATCCTCGGCTATATCCAGGCCGGCAAGGATGAAGGCGCCACTCTTGTGACCGGCGGTGTTCCGCATAAGAACGTTGGCGATGGCAAAGGATTCTTCATTGAGCCAACCGTCTTCTCCGACGTGAAGAAAGACATGAGAATCTTCCAGGAAGAGGTGTTCGGTCCTTTCGTCGCCATCACACCCTTCAAGACGGAGGAAGAGGCGGTTGCGCTGGCTAACAACACATCATATGGCCTCGGAGCTGCGTTGTTCTCACGCGACATTGAGCGATGCCATCGCATAGCCGCCCGTCTCGAGTCTGGAATGGTCTGGATCAACAGTTCAAACGACTCTGATATCCGTGTTCCATTCGGTGGTGTCAAGCAAAGCGGTATTGGACGTGAACTGGGAGAAGCTGGCCTCGCTGCTTACTCACAGACGAAGGCAGTTCACGTTAACTTGGGATACAAGCTTTGAGCGGATTGAGTGTAGGAATTTGAAAGTTCATAGCCACATAATCTATTACCAGCGCATCTCTGTCGTCGAATTATAGCACGACGGCATCTGACGCCAACTCGGAGTACATTTCTGACCAAGATACGTCCTCTCGGGCGGCCTTCCAGACACCACACAAGACCTCAGAAACAGTGTGTAAGCTGGCGAACCGCATCTCATCGCGAATAATATGGAGTATACCCAGAACCGCTTTTCTGTGTCTTGGGGACTGAACATGCGCACCGGCAACGAGCAATGGGAAAATAACGCAATTGAGCACCTTAGACGGCTGTTTCATATCAACGATGCACTCCAAACACGGCAAAACGTGCTGTTGTACAAGGGAGTGGGAGACTGACAGGCCACAAATGGCTCGATACATGTAGATGAGAGCCGTATGCTGAAAGGCACGAATTAGAGTGAAATCGTTATTTGCCTCCGAGTCCGGATCCGCATCTCCCGTATCTGAGCATGTGTCTGTGATCCTGGCATACATCGGAGACAAAGCCGTATCGAACTTGCGGATGGTCTCCATCGAGAGTTGTTCGGTGTTGTTGTTCAGAGCATCTCGGTACTCTGTTAGCCGAGATATTTGCTGGAAAACTGAGGCAAGAGATGAACGCCCTAGGATGTCTCTTCCCCACCAAACGGATCTCTTCTCAATTGTATCCCATATTTCATGAGGAAACGAGGGTTTCCCTCCCTTGAGCATGATGGTTGTGAGATCCGTTGATGCGAACTCGGAGATGAGCATGTGGATCGATTCATGACTCGTCTCTAGAACTGGAAGAATACCCCCAAGACTGTCGATGATTGCCTTGACGCCCCCATGGTGACTTGACGTCGACGCAGATGCCTGAGCGCACTCAAGGTATCCGTCGTGGAAATAGAGTAGGAGCACAGCGAGCAACAGGGTCATGAGTGAACTCTTATCCACCATGTGAGCCCCGCCGACCTCTCCGCGGACGGCGGCGAGACACTCGAGTCGCTTCATGCGGAGAAGACTGCGGCTGTTTCTCCCGTCCTGGAGAACCCGGTGCGCATCCGCAATGACGCACGCCGCGAGAAGCACGACTCGATGCTCGAGGGCCTGTAAGATTGGAGCCGCGCATGGTTCCGGGGCCGTTGTAAAAAGCGGCCACAGGCGGTGGTGGAAGTAGTCCAGGGCGCGCCGTTCGTCTGAAGCCAGACAGGACGCGAGCTGCGCGTCTCTGGTGGCGATCTGGTAGATAGCCGGAGCCTTGATCGTGGGCCGCGTGCTCCATTTCAGGCGGCGAGCGTTGAAGTCGCAATCCGCGCCAATCTTGGAGCATCGATTGCACCGGGGCTTGGTCAGGTCGCACTTGATGCGGCGTTTTTTACAGGGCCAACAGGATCCCTCAACGACCCTGACTCTGTTTGTGGGCATCTTTGGGACGCCAACGTTCAAGAGACGGCTAGCTTGACACTTTATAAGGCTACGTCAATGTCGAATCTGGGTAGTCTCTCGGCGACGTTTCGCGAAAGCAGATAAGTGGTGAGTGGAGATCCAAGCCTGATGTTGTGGTTTGCTATCAGCAGGGTTCGGATTCCCGTCTGGTATCAACGCCCCTCCTCCCAAGTCTCGAGAAGGGTTCGGGAGATGGGGAAGCTGTGCGGGGGAAAAGGGGGTTGAGCACGGAGGGGATCCGGGCTGAATTGGCTCGACGAAGCTCGAAAGTTTGCGAGATTTGGTCCATCTAGTTTCCTGAAGGGGTTTAGCGGCAGTTGAAATGACCCGGTTTGCTGTTTTGTGTGACAGCTGTAACTGTTATCCGGGATCAAACTTTGTTTTGCAGATCAAAGAACGCGTCGGAAGCTCATCCGGTGGGTTGGAGGCCATACTTAGCCGTGAACCCAATGGTTGCAAATTTTCTAATAGACAACAACCATCCCCAATAGTGAGGGAGCTCTTCACGACAAGTCAACAATGGACACGGTAACGAACGAGACATGGGCTGAAGTCCAGATGACGCCCAATCCCTTGACAACTATGAGCACTGCCGTCGCGCTGGTCGCATGCTCAATCGTAGCTCTTGTTTTGGGCATCCGGCTAGCCCGGTCACCGCGAGCAGCGAGCAAGCCGCTAGAAATCACACAAGTACAACATGCTGCCCTGTGTCAAAGTAATCAATGCGAATGCTTCTAACACCAATTGTACAGCTTTACATATATCCTATCAAAGGACTTGGGGGATGCGCGGTGCAGCGAGCACATTTGGGCAAATATGGCCTAATCGGAGACAGGACGTTTTCGCTGCAAAAGGTCATTCGGGACAAGACCGACCCGTCCAAGAAGACATATGAAACCATGTTTATCGGCTACTACCTTTATATGGCATTATTCCAGGCTTCAATCGAGCACAATGGGAGGCAAGAAAATGCGACCGAAGGAGAAGTGGTAGTAAAATGGCACGGCCGAGGAACGGAGCACGGCAAAACAATCAACGAAGCAAACGTCACCACTACTGACGAAATTCGATTCAAACTATCGCCAAGTACAGAGGGGTTAGAGGCGATTGAAACAAGTCTTCATGTAAGCCAGGCCAAGGCTTACGACATGGGCGACAAACTTGCAGCGTGGTTCTCGGAGCGCCTCGGGGTTGAGGCAAGACTTGCCTACATTGGGAACGGCTCACGGCCTGTTCTGGGATCTCTAGCGCCAAACAGCAAAGGAGGACTGAAAAAGGCCAGGCTTGCTCAGCGCCTCATGTCCTTCATTCCCTTTACCAGGTTTCCCGAGGAGCGTCTTGTCTTCAACGACCTTGCGCACTACCTCGTCGTCACTGAAGAGTCCACAGCGGAGGTCTCTTCCCGCCTCGAGGGCGACTTGACGATGGATGTTCGAAAGTTCCGTCCGAATGTCGTTGTCAAAGGTGCAAGCGGCCCTTTCGTAGAGGACTTTTGGGGCGAGTTGACTTTTGACGGCGGTGTCCAGATGCCTCTGACGGCCAACTGTTATCGCTGCCAAAGTATCACTGTCGACTATGAAACTGGCAAGACGGCGAGTGATGACCGCGGACTGGTATGGAAGAAGCTGAATAAAGACCGCCGAGTTGATAAGGGTGCCAAATACAGCCCTGTATTTGGACGTTACGGATACTGCTTCGGGTCAGCAGTTGGCGAGACATTAAGTGTTGGCCAGAGAGCGCGAATCTCTCACGTCAATCCGGACAGAACGACTTTCGGTAATAATCCTTCATTTTAATCCTGAGCATCATAGTCGAGTACTTTGCTGATGAAACTTTTAGACTGGCCGCATCTTACAACGTTTGGCGTTAGCCAGAAGAAAAAATAGACCCGGATGTTTACACAAGTTTAGAAGACTTATAAACATGGCAACCTCCGACGGAGAATAATTCTAGAAACTGACATAGAACACAAAAGCGTTTTCCTGAGAAGATGGAAGCACTTTGGCGTCCACGAGTGCCATAGCAAGTCGAGGGGCTAGTGAGTGAGCATTCAGCATTACCTTGGGTTGAGCTCAAAGAGATGTATCGCCCAGCTACCTGTCGGCAACTTGAATAGAATCAAATTGTTATAGGCGCGTTAAACCTGCCCATAGCTGAAATGTTTATCAAAAGCATTTTTCTCTCCGGGCTGCAGCCCTTCGCCTCCCGGATAATGATGATGTGCATAAAGTACAATGTTGGGTCGTCTTTGAGACTGAGGTCAGCGGCATATGGTAGTTGACTTCTCGCTCCGCCAAGGTGCGCCGGCGCTAACCTCCGCAAACTCCATGTCCCACCGAGTTCGGCCGAGTCTTGGATCGGCTTAGCAATTGCCGCGAACCTCCATCGTCAAGATTGATGACAATAGACGTACCAGATAACTCACCCACCAGACCGAATCGTTCGCTCAGAGACGTTCCACGAGTGTCATGTGGCGGTGGAACAAACCCTCCGTGCCGAGACAAAGATTCCAAAGCTTCTCAAAAATTCTCAAGGATACAGGCTGACATAGGCTATCGCGTACATTTTCAAGGTCGATTGATCTAAATTGAGGATCAGGCAACGTTATTCCCTTCTTTGCATTCTGCATTGTTCATCATTGACCATGCATGGACCAAACTGTAATACAACTTTCTAATGGATCGCATAGGCTTAGTCAAGTCCGCACGAAATCCGCGAGCAACTCCACTAGGAATGCATGGTTCTAGCGACATTGACGCAAGCAGCCAACGCCAAAGGCTGTGATCGACGCACAGGTAGCCAAAATCGTAGATAACTTGGGCGCGGCTGCGGAGAATATGTAAGCCCAAAGTATGCAAAGCTATCAGGTATTCCGACTGGAGATCAGAACGGACGAAGCTGAACTCAAAGCATGTCTCCCTAAGGTAGTAAGAGTGTACCATTACGCCGTAGACAACGGGTTTATTAGGTCCAGTCCAATTGTTGATCATTATGCACGCTTCTATCGATATTTCGAACTCCCGACAGCATGGTGTTGATACCAATACTGATGATTAAGAGACACCCTGGTCCCCGGTCGTCATCAGTATGCTTGCGGACTTGACGGCAGGTCCACAGCTCGGACGTTTGAGATACCCCGGATCCATACTTCGCGGTCCGCCATGCTCGAGCAAAGATGACAAACCTACGTGTGCTTCGGTGATATCACCGTCTGAAATTCAAAACCGCTCGTACTCGGTAATATTGCTCGAATATATATGAGGACTGTCGCGCCCAACAGTCTGGGAGGAGTAAATACAACGACCTCTTCTAACATCACTCACGTCATTATTCAAGTTCCAATTTACCGACGGCCACTTCTTCTCGTCAATAAATCATCGAAAATAATCAAAAATGTCTAGTACGACCTCTCTAGCTGAGCCGTGGTCTCTGAAGGGTAAAACTGCCATCGTGACCGGAGGCTCCCGAGGAATTGGCAGTGGGATTGCCGTACACTTTGCCCGCAAGGGCTTGGAAAACCTCGCCATCACGTATGTGGCGAACAAGGCCGCTGCCGATAACACTCTGGCAAAGTGTCGCGAACTGGGTGTCAGGAACGCCGTTGCCATCAAGGCAGATTCAACAGATCCGACAATCGCCCCAAAAATCATCAAAGACGCCCTGAGCGCACTCAAGGTTACGACTATTGATATTCTGGTCAACAATGCGATTCTTTCCGACATCAGCAACACATCGGACGTTAAGACGCTCCAGGCCAAGGACTTCAATGATATTATGGTCGCAAATGTCTACACTCCTGTCAGTCTGACGACTGCCTTCATGGAGCACGTGCCCAAGTACGGCGCTCGCGTCATCAACATCTCCAGTATTGCTGGCAAAATGGGCAACCCGAGCCCAATCATGACATACGGAGCCACGAAAGCCGCGCTCGACAGCTTCACGAGGTCCTTTGCAGACACCTTTGCCTCAGAGAAAGGAATGACCTTCAACAGCGTCGCGGTTGGGCCCACGGAGACTGATGCGCTGGCCAAGGCGAGGGAAACGCATCCGGAGTTCATCGAAAAGCAGACGGAATATATTACTGTCGGCCCCCGTCTCGGAAACACTGACGATATTGCCTACATCGTTGGCTTCCTGGCGAGTGAGGAGGGACGTTGGGTCAATGGAGCTGCAGTCAGCGCGAACGGTGGACATCGCCAAACTCTTGCTCTTTTTGGGTAGATTTCGACTTCCATCGTATGAAGATGACCTGTACACAGAGCTTTCTAGTGGAGTGCGTGAATTAGTCACAGTGCTTTAAGCAGATAATCGCTTACAACGTTATTCTCTTGACTTCCGTCCTACTCTTCCTGATTCATACTATACTCATCCAGGTCATCGTCATCTCCATCACATTGGCTCGGTGATCGGCATCTTACTGAGTACATTTACCCAATGAATGGGAAGTATATCCTCAGCTCAATGCGTATACACTTATTGGAACGTCAATGACAAGACTCAACCACAAATCGACATATCATGAATTCAGATACAGAGAGGTCAGAAATCCGTGCAGGTTGTAAGCCCCCGTAATGTTTAAACATCGTGTGGCGGCTACTATCCGAAGGTGACTTCTAACCTTACCCATTCAATCACATGCAAGCCTGACTTTCTTGCCAGCCCAATGCCGTTCCCACCCAAGAAATGTAGCTTATTTTAGCTCACTCCACACACGCATCGTGCATCGCACCAACTATGGCGACTTCCGGGCTGCTCCGGCTCCCGACATCCGAAACGGCGGCCCGGGTATCCGGGCAGTTGTCCGTATACCTCTCAGTTCTCGCCTAGAGTACTCACCTCATTTTTCAAATTCGATAGTTTCTCTATTTGATTATTTCTGAATCGTATGCTGCCCTACTTGTTGGTGCATGCGTCGAATATGGTGTCTCAAGATTTCGAGCCAATTTCACCGAACATGCAACCTCCTCCACGAAAGCTTGTCAACATTGATCAGATCATCGAAAACGCTACGCTGGCAGAGAAAGTGTCGTTGCTTGCTGGTAAGAGTCCCCAAATGGGAACTCCATGCAATCGAGTCCCTAGTACTGACAGCTCTCGGGTACAGGCTCCGACTTTTGGCACTCCACTCCCCTTCCCCAGCACAATGTCCCGGCCATCAAATGCACCGATGGGCCCAACGGCGTCAGAGGCTCACGATTCTTCAACCCTGTACCCGCACTCTGTATCCCTTGCGGCAGTGGCCTAGGAGCAACGTGGAACCCTGAGTTGATCGAACAAGCCGGCCAGCTATTATCAAAAGAATGCGACGCTAAAGGCGCCCATGTCTGGCTCGGTCCAACGGTTAATATCATTCGTTCGCCGCTGAACGGCCGTGGATTCGAGTCCTTCTCCGAGGACCCGCACCTGAGCGGAATGCTTGCCGCAGCCATCATCAGGGGTGTCCAATCCCGAGGGACTCTGGCGGCTCTGAAGCATTTTGTGGCTAACGATCAGGAGACGGAGAAGATGTCTCTTGATGTGCGCATGTCTGACAGAGCACTGCGAGAGGTATATCTTTTACCTTTTCAGATCGCTCTTAGAGATAGCAATCCCAGAGTGGTGATGTCTTCTTACAACAAAATCGGCGGCCTGCATGTTTCTGAGAACCCCATGATTCTTCAAGACATCCTGCGGAAAGAGTGGGGGTTTGATGGTCTCATCATGAGTGACTGGTGCGCCATATACTGTTCCATTGAATCCGTCTTTACATTTTGTTATTATGGAGCTAATGCATACAGGTACGGCACTTATTCTTGTGAGGCAGCGCTCAACGCTGGCGTTGACATCGAGATGCCCGGTCCTAGTCGTTACAGAGAGAAAGAAGCCCTTGCCGCAGTCTTCTCGGGCAAAGTTCACCAACACACCATAGACGACCGAGCACGAAAAGTTCTGCAATTCGTAAACGACGCGGCATCAGCCCGTGTCGAGAAGGAGGAGACCATGCGAGATGTTCCTGAGGACAGGACCCTAAATCGTCGTTTGGCAGGCGAGAGTATTGTGCTGTTAAAGAACTCTGCCAACCTCTTGCCATTGTCACCCGAAGACTGCAGTGAAGTGGCTGTCATCGGACCAAATGCTGAGCTTGCAGCTGCATGCGGAGGAGGTAGCGCAAGTCTCCGGCCCTACTACACCAGTTCCGTACTGAAGGGAATCCGGGACTCTCTACCACCTACAACCAAGATACGCCATGAGCCTGGTGTTTACGGGCATATTTTGTTACCCCCGTTCACAGAAGAAAGTGTTTGCGACGATGAAGGCCGGGGAGGTGTAACTATCGAATTGTTCAACGAACCACATACAACCAAAGAGCGGACGCCGTTTGACCGTGTCACGATACCGGACACCACCTACCAGCTCATGGACTATGAGCATCCTAAGAAAGGAGACACATTCTTCATGTCCATGCGCGCTCAATTCGTCCCAGAACACTCTGGCACGTACGAATTTGGCCTGGCCACTTACGGCATCGGCGACCTATTCATCAATGATGAGCTTGTCATTGACAACTCAACAGGGCAAACGCCAGGAGGCATGTTCTTCGGCAAGGGTTCAGCCGAAAAGCGAACAACATACGAAATGACAGCCGGAGAGCGGTATTTTCTACGCGTTGAGGCCGGTAGTGCTGCGACGTCGAAAGTGAAGGGCGGCTCGCTATTGGCGATCCCCGGTGGTGCGTGTCGGCTGGGTGGCTGCCGCAAGATTGACCCTAAAGAGGGTATCCAAAGAGCCGTCGAACTGGCAAAGAGAAGCAAATACACTTTCGTCGTTGCCGGACTAAATGTGAGTAGTTTCTAGGCCGGGAATTCATTGACAAAGCTGATGAAAGATTGAACTCTAGGCGGACTTGGAAAAGGAGGGCAAAGACAGAGACACGATGAACATGCCACCACAAGTGGATAACCTCATCGCAGCTGTTCTGGCGGCACAGCCAAACACCATTGTCATCACTCAAGCCGGAAACCCAATCGACATGTCATGGAGACATAATGCCAGCACAATACTTCACAGCTGGTACGGCGGCAACGAAGCGGGCAACGCCGTGGCGGACGTTGTCTTTGGACGCATCAATCCTAGTGGAAAGCTGCCAATGACTTTCCCTGATCGGCTAGAAGATAATCCTGCGTACCTTGGATTCGGCAGCGACAACGGCACGGTCTACTACTCTGAAGAAATCTTTGTGGGGTACCGGTGGTACGAAGCGAGAAAGATGGAAGTTGCATTTCCATTTGGGTACGTCGGCTCGTTTGGAATAGACTTGAAGCCTGCAAGCTAACAGTTCTTCCAGTCATGGTTTGAGTTACACCACCTTCCGAATTACGGAGATGCAGGTTTTACCCTCCAGGGTTCACTTCAGCATAGAGAATACCGGGCGAATGGCCGGCGCGGAAGTTGTCCGCTTGTACATTAGCTACTCGACTGTGATCCCCAAGTCACGATTTGCGCGTCCCGTGCGTTCACTCGTTGGATTTGAAAAAGTTTTCTTGGAGCCCGGAGAGAGGAAAAATGTCTCCATTCCTATCGATAGGTATAGCACGGCTGTTTGGGATGAGAAGAGAAACAGTTGGTGCTGTGAAAAGGGACGGTACACTGCTTCAGTTGTAGGAGGAAGCGCAGCTTTGAATGGCTCCTTCGAGCTTGAGAAGGACATGTTCTGGAGTGGATTATGAGCAAGTGTGAACATTTGCGTGGTTGATGTTGTTTACAAGTAGTACTTGGCATATGTTGCTTTAAACGGACCTTGAATATGGTCTCAATACAGCCCTTTAGGCTATCAAGAGCATGTTATACTCAGCGATAGCTTCATGAAGGCTACAGTACTACCAAGGCCGTTGGGAATGATCATCGGAGTATCATCGCAATAAGAGCATTGCCATGTCAATCCCTTGATTTGGGGCCACCGAGTATTAAAGGCAACCAGAATCAGCCATATTCCAGTCGTTTTGGAGAGGCATGAAGGTATCCAAAAACAAGTCTGGCTGACATTCCCCGTAACTTGGCTCGAAACCCAGAGTCATTGACACATCGTACGGCGCCGCGCTTGCACCGAAGCCGGCGTCCGAAAAGCCAAAGCCGCTGGCTGTCATATCCTGAGGCATTGGCATGTATGGCTGCGAGCCATGCTCCTTTGACATATCCGGCATCATGAATTGCTGAGGTGTGACACAATCTGCGCCAACCCCTGTTGCTTGCTCGTCTGACCGGTACTCCTCCCTATCCTCTTCGCCGTCTTGTTGGAACTTGAGTTTCCGAATCTCGTCCGTTACGCTGTACTTCGAATAAACTTCTGGGACTGAGCCCTGCGTGCCTCCCTGGATACCAGGTTGTTGGGCCCCAGTCGCCTCGTTGTCAGATCCTGGCTGTTCGGCCTCCCAATTCGACCTGAGCGGACTCGAGTCCCCAGAGTCGCGCTCCGCATCGTGGATAAGGTCTGAGATACCACCTCGCAGAAGCTTAGTTGTAGAGTATATCTCAGCTGGCGTCTCGAGAATATCCGAGCACGCCTTCAGCTTGGATATCAGAATATCCTTGGGCATGTTGGCGAACTGGCTTGAACCAAGCCTTGAGATAACACGCGCGGAATGAAAAGTACACATAACCAAGGCTGGATCTGTGATGAATATGTCTTTTCCCATGTCAATCACTGTGGCCATAATGTTGGCAACAGCAAGCGCATGCTGGAGACACTTATCTCTGCAAAAAGAGACCAAGTCTTGAGGCAAACTTCTCAACTCTTCCACGGGGAGACCTTCCCTAAAGCCTGGTATCGTGAACCTGTACATGTCACATTGGCACTGATGCCACCAGGTATGGAACATGACAAATGGGGTACGTTGTGGGGTGTAGGCTCGGAGAAAGAGGTTCTTTTTGTCGAATGCGAACTGCGGCGGAAGCGAACGACGTAGTGCATCGAGTTCGTCGACGAGCCCTTTGAGTAGCGAAACGCATTCGAGCAAAGGCTTTCGATGATGCGTGATCGTATGAGATAACCTAGCCGTACTGGTTAGTTGGGGGCTCGAGTAGATCATCAAGGTGGATGGATACCTTTGTATCCGATCTCGAATGTCGAGGACCCGAATATTGTACGCCATCAAACCTAGCTCCAAAGAACACTGATTTCTTGGGGGCTTCAAGGGTTCCGTCATTACGGGAATATCTAAAGTGAAAGACCGCTCATGGCAGGGAAGTTGCAGGTGTATTGTTTCCTTCGGACAACCAGTGAACTCCGTTCTCCCACTGGAGTAAAGCGTCTCCATGGTGTAGATACCCCACATAAGGCGCCGACGACGCTCTTGAGTGAGGAAGCTCAAGCGGCCATCCTCGTAGTTGAGTCGCATCATGAACGCTAGCCTTGCCGCGAGGCATGCAGATACTAGCATTTTGCTGAATCGACGAGCAATGATGTGGTCCAGTGTAGTGAGCATGAGTGCCTCAATATCCGACATGGAAGGCTCACTGAGCCGCATAAGGAGCTGCATTTCCGACTCTTGAATCCATCTCGTTGCTTGTTGTAGACGGTTGGTATCCCCTGCTGCGATATAGCGGGCTGTGAGACCACACATTGCCTTTAGAAGGCGTGGGTTGTAGGTGTCCTGTGCCCAACTTTGGCAAAAAGTGGCCTTATGGATGAAGCCATAGCAAGGTATTGGATAAACAAAGTCGAAGAAAGCATCGATGTGTTGCTTGATAATCGTCTTGTTCGAGTTCAACTCGCTGCATAAATGAACAAGTTTCAGCAAAATAGACCGCACATGCATTTATTTGACTTGCAGGACGATCAACTTACAACCCAAGTGATGAGGCCGGAGAGTGCGCAACGGAGGAATCTCGATTCATAGACGAAGTTCTATTATCCGTACTATTTTCCGAACCGCCACGCACTGCAGCAGACGGTTGGGTCCGAAGATCCGAAGCTGGAGTTCTGTTTGATGATGACTTAGACATGTCTGGGTACTGGCAGTCAACGCCCCGGTGAGAGCATCGCCGACACGAGGGCTGCGTGCCGCAGCACTTTGTCTTCTTGTCACGGCATTGTATGCAAGCAGTGCGCACGCGACGTTTCTCCAACCTCAGATGGCTTGGATCATTGTTGTTGGGAGTGGAAGAATTTGCAGCATCCGGTAACTGATCTGGTGCTGCAAAGGAGCAATGGAACTTGAGCCGACGACAGTTCTCGCAACCTCCAGGTGCGCCGTCACATCGGACCTATCGGCTACGGGTTAGGGGACCCTCTTCCCGAAGGACCGCGGCAGGGACACTCCGGGTGCAAGTTGACCGCGACTTACCTTGCGGTTCCGGCACTGGAAACATATCTGCAAGCCTTTTCGGGGCCGACCCGAAGCGCGATATGGATTAGGCGTCTCCATGTATGAGTCTTACCCGCAGTATTTTCTGATCAAAAGAGTGAAGATGCATAAGGTCGGGGGACGGGGTGGGAAGTCGGGGGAAGAAGAGATGACATGTCTTCCGCCCGAGTTCCGCGTTGGTTTTGACTTCTCACCTCCGCCCGAGTTCCGGCCCCGGGGCTACCCTAGTCGAACGCCAAAATCCCAAGCGGGCGGTCACCGGGTCCTTCACCCGCAAAAGATTTTCGTTCTGGACCTCGTTGCTGAACCCCTCCGTCGCACCGTGGCTTCTCCATTCCTCCACTCTCCTCCAGGAATTCATCCCTAGCGCTATGAACGGCTTGCTTCCCCAGTGGGTTCCCCAAGTTGGGGAAACCTCCTCCGCCATGTGTTTGTTCGTCTCGTGCGTCTGATCGGACGACTCTATTGCCAGTGAAAGGGGTGATTAGCTCAGATCAACGGGGATCCCTGGCTCCACTCGACAGGGAACGACGCAGCAACGTAATAACCACGAGGCGTAGAGTTTGATTCCTTCAACGCGTCTGGATACTTAAAGACCAGAGAATGCATCGCCAACTTCACCCCAGGCACCCTGTCATTTGAGGCAAGGAGCTGAGGTTATCCGGACAGTCGCTCAAAGATATCTGAGATCTCCCTTCGCAATGGCGCCCAATCGAATTCTCAAACACTTCAATGGCACCCTGGCTGCGGCCTTTACTGTCATCGCCGTCTCGACCTTCAACTACGGCTTCGACAATGCTGGCTACTCAACAACCCAGGCGATGGACGCGTTCCAGCGCCAGTTTGGCGACCAGAATCCCACAACTGGCAAGTGGAAGCTTCCCACCGGCTGGCTCGCCCTGTTCAACAGTCTCAACTACATCGGCTTCGCGGCCGGCGTCATTATTGGTAGTCTCGTTAGTGCTCGCTGGGGTCGCCGGTGGTGCATGTTCGCGATGAGTGCGTGGGCCGTGATCCCTGCGACAATTGCGATAACTTCGAGCACCAGAGAGCAGATCATGGCCGCGCGCATTCTCAACTGTAAGTCTCATGCCGCACTGAATTCCGACCATAATCATTGACTTGAGATAAAAGACATTTACGTTGGCATGGAACTCGCTGTGGTTCCGGTTTACCAGTCCGAGATTGTTCCCTCGGAGATTCGTGGATTTGCAGTCGGCTCTTACCAATTCAGTCTGATGGTGAGCTTTCAATATCCAATCAACTAATAGACTTGCGGAACTAACATTGTTCTGTCAAGTTCGGTACTCTTATTGTCAACTCTATCTGCCGAGGAACTAGCACCCTGGATGGCAATGCATCTTGGCGGATTCCAATGGGCCTATTCTACGTTATTCCTGTCATCGTCATGGGACTGATTTTCTTCATCCCCGAGGTAAGCTCAACCTGACCACAACTCCCCTATCCAGCTCAATTCCTAGGCTAAATTCCATGCAAGTCGCCTCGCTGGCTGTTGACCCAGGACAGAGTCGAAGAAGCCCAAACGTCCCTAAGAAAACTCCGAGCCGGCACCATCCCAGACTCCGAGATCGATGAACAGTTCGCCGCCCTCCAGTACGCACTGAAACAGGAAGTCGAACAAGGGCACTATATGGAGCTCTTCAAGGGTGTCAACTTGAAGAGAACCGGGATCGTGATGGCCATGAACTTCTTTCAGCAAGCAACTGGGCAGGCTTTTGCCTCTACCTACGGTGCAATCTTCATCAAGGACATCGGCACGGTCAATCCCTTTACCATGACCATCATCAATGCCGTCGTAAATCTTTGCATGGTATTCGTCGGACTTTACCTGCATGATCACGTGGGGCGTCGGTACGTATTTGATCTACCTTACTGTGGACCACATCTGTCGTGCCTCTTTAGCCATACATGTACTAACCTCACAACCCAACAGACCTCTTCTTTTGATCGGTGCAGTCTGGCAATTTGCCGCCATTGTAACCATGGGATCACTGGGTACTGTAGCAGACCCATCATTCGCCGTCAAGACAAGCATCGTGGCCATGCTGACGGTCTTTGCCGCCGGCTATGTCTTTGCATGGGCGCCTCTAAACTACGTCGTCACGACCGAGATTCCCGCCCTCCGACTGCGCGATGCCTCTCAAAGGACGGCGTCAATGGTCAACGTCTTGGCCAACTTCCTCGTCAACTTTAGCATCCCGTACCTGCTCTATACCCCTGGCGCAGGATTAGGTTCAAAGGTTGGTTTCATCTTTGCGGGAATCCTGGTGCTGGCGCTTGTCTTTACGTGGTTCTGCATCCCTGAATGCAAGGGCAAGTCTCTTGAGCAGATCGACCGGATGTTCAACGAAGGGGTCCCGCTGCGCAAATTCGGCAAGTACAAGGCAGAGGACATGTTTCAGGCTTCGCCGGAGGATGGCGAGAAGGCCGGAGTAGTTGTGACCGCAAGGCACGCGGAGAAGGCGTAACACGGAAGGAGGCTCATAATGTTGTATCCAACGGTCAAGAGATGATCTCGACTCCTAGATCAGGAGTGAAACGCAGGCCCGTCAGGGGCAAACCTTACTTATCGCACGTTGCAGAATTCTAATGTTTCTCAAAACTGCGCTGTGCCGGCCCATTCATCAACTGCCTCGTGGCTCAGCCTCTATGTAAGGGCTTATGTTTCTGGATTCTGACAGAAGCGTCTGGCGAGGAGCCTAATCTGGGTCAAAAGTGTGGTTGAATATGGCCGCAGAAAGGCTAGGTTGTTTCATGATTGATCTCATTAACCTTTTGGGGATTGTTTCGATCTTTCCAACCTCGAGAAATAGGAGTAAATCAATGTCTTATTGGTTGGCCGGGACGGAGTGACCTGCCCGTTGCGGTCCCGCTTGAGACGGCTTGTCAGGGCGGTAAACCGCCATTCTTATTGACTGCATTCAAGATGTGGTTACATCGGCGTGACCGATGTCAGGATCGGGCTCAGATCGTTTCGCAACCACTATTTCGTGGCTGTTGGGGTAGATAAGAATGCGTCGGTTGATGAACTAATTCGGCTCGTTCCTGGCCTCCTCATAAGCCACTGATCCAACCTGCTACCAATGACATGGCGCAATCCGACCTCAAACAGCCCCTGCATTCAGATTCGGTCTACATCTCAATTGCGTTCATGATCCAATCAGCGTCAACTTCGATTGCTTAACATTGCCTCGCAATGCCAAGGTCGCTGCTTCCATACTACGTACACGCAATGAATCTGCCTTGTCGGAGTACATTTACAAGCGGAAATTGCCAAGGGCTCATGGCGATAGTGTCTCTCTCCCAGGTCGACCGACAATGGCAGTCGGGGAAGAATGGACATCGAACTCTTCTTCCCCCTTTTTGGTATAAAGGCCTCTTCGGCTTCACTCTGACTGTGTTTCTTCTCGATGAACACCTGCAGCAAGCTCCCATATTTCGCCAATACCATCAAGGGACTTCACCCGTTCCAGAGATCTTATCAGAACTATTATATCAAGCCAACTTTCACTTTGGTCAATCCTCAATCCTATCACTCTCCCCTTGATTTCGCAAACTCATCACTCCGTTGAGCATGGCCGAATTCACAACCCCTTCAACCCCGTCTGGCTTATTCGGATTCGCACACAAGCCGTCATACTCTGCCATGCCATCAGTCGGTATCAGCCCTGAGTCGCAGTATGCCGAGTCGCAGGTCGACTCTGCCGCTGGCTCTGAGGCAGCCTCCCCACCGTCCGACAAAGGTGGCGAACAAGACAGAGCTGATATCATTCCCGAAAATCCGTTCGACAGCGAGGGCAGCAGGCTTCTGTTCGATGCCATTGACAAGCTTCAGTCCTGTGGAGTCAGCCAAGAGCTAGCTATTCCTCAGGTGAGATCGGCTCTTCCCTTAGCACCTTGCCGGAGTTTCCAAGTTGACCCCCATCTCAGCTGGTCATTGTCGGTGGCCAATCCACGGGAAAGTCGTCACTGCTTCAGAGCTTGACCGATATTCCCTTTCCAGTTGGTTCTGGCTGCTGCACTCGCTTCGCAACAAGGATTGTATCTCGGAGAACTGCGCCTGGAAGTCGCAGCTCTGTCAAGGTGACAATTGTCGAGCCTGATGTAACTGACAAATTTGGCTATCCACCGGATGATACGTACAAAGAATTTCCGCCTTATGTCACCGATCATCTAGGCGTCGAAGAGTTTACGCAACTCATGAAAAATGTAAGCCCTGATAACTTATTTACTTCATATCGCCGTCTCTTACAAGCTTTGTAGATTACCACAAGGTACATGGGAATCAAGAGAGGCCAAGGACTTGCTACCAAGAACTTTGCTTCACAAGTCCTTCGGATTGAACTCTCGGGCCCTTCCCGATCACACTTCAGCATTCTTGACGTACCTGGCATCTTCTCTTACGCTCATGATGTCAACGAGGACGAGGAGCATGGCGTGAGACAGATGGTTGGGGAGTACATGCGACAACCAGCGAACATCGTAATGTCAGTTGAACCTTGAATTTTAGCCAGTCGCGAGACTAATGAGCAACAGATGCGTGGCCGCCGCTACGGCTGATTTATCTACTCAAGAGATCTTCAAGATGGCCGCCAAGCTAGTTGACAAGAGTCGTCTTGTTGGAGTCTTCACCAAGTGCGACAGGCTGGAGGATCCAACTGAGGTGAGCTGCGGCTAAAATTCATGCTGCTGAAAGCCTGCTGATCTCCACAAGGTTATTGATATCGCTAGTGGATATGGAAAAGACTCTACAAGATCTATGAAAGACGGTTGGTTCGTAGTGAGAAACCGATCTGACGCCGATGGTGAAGAGGTTGACTTCAAAGAAGTTGAACGCAAACTCTTCAGTTGCTCGCCTTGGGACAGGATCCCAGAGAATCGACGAGGCTCTGTGCAGCTGCAGAAATATCTCGGCAACCTTCTCTGCGCTCAGATTCGAGGTAACTTTCCCGCGATTCAAGAGTCAGTCCGGAAGTTGTTATCGGATGCCAAAGACAGCAGGAAGAGCTTAGGCGAGCCTCGTCCAAGTCATAGTCTCCGTCAGCAATACATCAGGGATGTGGTTGAGAAGTACCATGCAACGGCAACCAAGACTCTCAAGAGCCCCGGATCCCTGGCTAAGGATAGCCTACGCATAAGAGGACTGGTGCGTCGGGCAAACGAGAGCTTTTCATCTCAAATGCTTGCACGCGGTCATACGTATACCTTTGAAGATCATGGGGTAGACCCTATGACCCAGCTCTCCGACACTATCACCGTCTTGTCACCTCCATGTCCACACACACCAACCGGGCAAGAGCAGGTTACGACGCCACCAACGACACCGCCTAAGAAGCGACATGGACTGACGCCTCAACTACATACCAAACCTCAGCCTAACCCCGTGCCGTCCTTCATGGATGAAATCCGTGATCAGCTCCACATTTGGCAGACTACAGAGCTTCCCGGGATGGTGAACACAGAGGTCATCAAGATTCTCTACAAAACGCAATCAGAGCAGTGGCAACGGATTGCAGAACAGCACATTGAGAACATTGCCGATGATGTAGAGACGGCTTCTAATTGGATCCTCGAAGATGTTTGTTCGCCCGAGAATTGTTCAAAAATCCTGTACGAGGAACTGGCTCGAACCCTCACCCATTTTCAGCAAGAAGCCAAACAGAAGGCACTTCGAGAGCTTAAGGATCATTGCCGACGGGAGCGAGAATCTCACCTCCAGACGACTGACGCAAGGTTTCACGAAAGGCTGCAGATACTACGGACTGTTCGGCTTTTAAGAGCGATTGTCTCCAGTCCTGCCCTTCAGCAACGTCTGGACCTGACCAGCTCAAAGGCTCTCTTCCATCAATTCCACCACTCAAGCGAAGGAAACATGGTTAACGATGTGCATGATGTTGTTAAAGTTTATTACGAAGTAAGTCGAGCACCTTGCAATTCTACATCTGTCAGAAGTTTCTAACACGGCCTTCAGCTTTCCCTTGAGGCTTTTATCAGATACGTCACCAACGACATTGTCGAAGATTTTGTGTCTTACTCCAAGGGGCCGCTCTTGGGATTATCCACGGACTGGGTCTTTATGCTCACTGATGAAGAAGTTGAGAAGCTCGCTCGCGAGGATGATGAGACAATGGGAAGACGTTCGCACTTCGACGGGGTCATTGGGAGGCTAGAAATTGCGCATGAAATAGCCGAGAAGGCTAGAATCCAGACTCGGAACCTTGGAGACATGTGAGCTTGTCTCATTGATTACACAAGTGACAAGAGACTTGAGCCCTGTACGTTATTACTTAGTGTGAAATAGAGAATGGGTTTCAAATGGCAGGACATTGTGGGAGTAAATTCGTTTGATTTACTACCTGTACACATGCCGTGCATTACCCTTATAACACCTTAGTACATCTTCACTCAAAAGACACGAAGTAACAGTCTGAGGGAATCTTACTAATGAAGAGGCAACCTAAAGCAGGATGACTTCTCGTGCATGGGGCTACAACGAACGCCCTGTGCGGATCCTGACATATTACCCCGAAGGTAACGTACCGTTTCTTGGTGGCCCTCGTCGTCAACGTGTTTCCCCATGGGGCTCGTGACGATCCATGGTTGAGAAGCTCTAGATAGAGTTTTCCAGTGGCGTGTTACCCGGACCGGAGAGTCAAGTGAAGAGTTGCGGAAAATCGGCTAGAAAGCTGGACCCCTGGGAGCCGCAAAGCTCATTCAAGGACGTGCCAGGCCGCGTACGGACACAGGTCGGGAAACCGAAGCGGCGCATAAGCGGTTGCACATTCCTGTCCGGGATTTCCGTTTGGGGCAAGCCGAGGTGAGACCGTGCAAGAAACAAAAGAGACTCTTGTCAGCTCCCGGTTAGAGATGAGATGGTGTGGTTAATGTTGGTCCAGGCCGTCCAGTTGCGTCGCAGTGGTGCCTTTTTTGCATTCCGGGGACGGGGACGGCAGAAATCCTGGGGGGCATGCGGGGTAACGTTTACGGGGGCAACCATCAAGAAATAGTGTGTCTGAGGCTCACGAAGCCGGACAACACTCCGCGCTGGCTGACTGAATGATTTGAAGGTCGGATTCCTGTAGTCGACAAGACCAGTCTGCTGAATGGGTGAAGTTGGTTCTTGGCAAAGACTGGATTCAAAGTGTAAAGCTTGGTTTTACCTCCGAGTCAAACCTGGGGGATATGTTGTAAGCGCTACGTTAGTCTGTTGGCAACTCCGGGCAATGTCCGGGAGGCAAACCAGAGCTGACATTTTGCGCTCGAGTAGCGTTGGGCCTTTAGTATTCAACCATAGGATTGCTGACGTCGGCGGCAATAGTCAATCCCGAGACACGGATTTGTCAATGAACTGTGCCATGGACGGCGGTCACGACGAAGTTGGAAGGAAACGAATTCGTAATGTTTAGATGATTGAACGATTTGTTGTGGTATCTATGCTTGAATCTAGATGAACTAGTGGTATCTCAACAACTGTCGAAGCCCTGCAGACTTCATAAAAGAATAGGAATTAATGACATCGGATATCAATCCATGCCCAAGTTGAGAAAGCCGGAAACTGCCCGGCAAAGGACATAATTCGTAGAGATGGGGTATATCGGTTTCAGGCCACCCTGGCCAAGTTCCTCATCCCGACTAGGGGACTGAAATGCGCAATTTTGAACGTGGAATTAAACCGCCAATTAAGACTTCTCCTCCTTGGTAACGTTCTGAGTCTCCTCGTCTTGGCGCTCCCACAATCCGTTGGGCTCACCGCTGCTGGTGCTGCCCTCGCGACGATTCTCGCGGGTGGTGGCGTGCCCGGTCTCCTTGACGTCGTCGTAGGTGATGAGGAGCTCGCCGTTCTTGCCGTAGCGGTGGGGCTCCTTTCGGGCGACGTCAACGACGTCGAAGGCACCCTTGAATCCGGGGGAGGCCTTGGCGAAGATAGAGTCCATCTCCTCGAGGGAGCGGTAGGCGGTCTCGGGGAAGAAGAAGTAGGTGACGGGGACGATGATGGCGTTGATGATGGCGAAGATGGTGTAGGTGTGGTGCTGAATTGAGTCGAAGGCAACGGGAGTAATCATGACAACCTATTTTTGCAATATTAGTGTCAAATTGAAAATGATAGGACTTCAGACAAGAACTTACCATGAAGTTGAAGATCCAGTTGGCGGAGGTGGAGAGAGCGTTGGCGGGGGCACGAATACGAAGGGGAACAATCTCGGCGGGGTAGAGCCAGGTCATGCCGAGCCAGCCGACGGCGAAGAAGGTGTTGAAGACGAAGAGGAAGACAATGCCAGTAATCTGGCAAGCATAGTTGTCCTTCTGGGAGTTCACACCGGCGAGGATAGCCATGGTAGCAGCCTGGCCAACGGCACCGAAAAGCATGAGCTTGCGGCGGCCGACGCGCTCAACGAGAAAGACAGCAGGCCAAGAAGCAATGAAGTATTCGGTACCGTTGAGAGCAGCCAGCAAGTGAGACATGAAACGGCTCATGCCAAGGTTGGAGTAGATGACGGCGGCGTAGTAGGTGATGAGGTTGATGCCGCAAATCTGCTGGAACATCTGGTTGACATAGCCGAGAGCAGCGCGGTGGAAGTTGCGGTTCTTGTCCATGGTAAAGAGGTCCTTGAAGCTGCCCTTGGACATTTCTTCGACCGTCTCCTTCATGACAATGTACTCGTTCTTGCAGTATTGGTCATCCTCGGGTAGATCGGCGATGGCGGCGATGACCTCCTTGGCCTCCTGGTCGCGGTTCTTGAGGATCAACCATCTAGGAGACTCGGGCAGGTTCCAGACGAAGGCCAGGATAAAGAGACAGAAGAGAATCTGCAGAGCCAGGGGGAAGCGCCATGCGACTGAGCCGGGCGCGAATGACATGCCGAGGTCGATCCAGTACGAGATCATGATACCACCGCTGATGAGGGCACCTTCGATCATCACGAGCTTGCCGCGCTTGTGCGATGAGCAAGTCTCAGATTGCCAGGTAGGGACTGTTGATGTGTTGCCGCCGTTTCCAAGACCAGTGATGATACGTCCGATAATAAGGTGTTCGATGGAGAAAGCAGAGGCCTGGAGGGCCGCTCCGACGACCATGATGGCGGTACCGAGGATAATCATGCGCTTGCGACCAAGAGGGTTTCCGATGAAGATGGTGATGATGGCGCCAATGAAGCAGCCAAGGTTATAAGAGGCGACGGCAATACCTTGGTTGGTAGAGCGCATACTCTTGATGCCAGGATCGAGGCCGACCTCATCGGGGTTGATGGTAGGGAATTGGGACTGGAAGGCAGGCAGAGTAAGAATACCACCAGTGACACCCTGGTCTAAATGAGAAAGGCAAGTCAGTCCATGTTCGTTCATTTCGGAGTCAAGTCCGCAATGTAATGTTAGAACCTACCATATCCAAAAAGCAAGAAGTCACATCCTGCAATAATACTGATGGCCCAGTTAAGGCTCTTGCCTCTGAGGCCGAAGTAGTTGAGCTTGCCCATCTTGGAGACTCTTTCACAGCGGACAGAATTGGATCGACTTGTTCCAAACAATGTCAAGGGCTGTAGGTCGTAGATCGGTTGGTAAAGGGAATGGGGTTGAGTCGAGATGAGAGGTAACAACAAGAAGATCAGATGCGAATTGAGATGGCGAACGTGTCGACCTTATAGATGAAAATCCCAAACCTACCGCGACAGGGTAAAGATCGGCAACGTCAGCGCGACCGCCAGGAATTACTTCTTTCTCCTCACCACTCACGCTCATACCACAAGACGCAAGTGCATGCCCGAACCTGCACTGACATGGTAACATGGCTACTCGTGCCAGCCTCGGACCCTGGCGTTGGTGCTGTTTACACCGAACCCAGAAAACCCCAAGTAGCCAATCCCCAGCCGTCCCACGAAAGGCTGCCCCAATTTCCCCCAATCCCCGTACGATCCAAGATCCCTCTGGAGGAGAGGGGACATTCTCCGACCTCGAGGAGGGGGGTAACGACTCCACATCCGGTTCCACGGGGGTGGACAATGGGGGCCCAAGGGCCCAAGGGGAGGACACAAGGAACGGTTGGCGACATGTCGTCAGGCCCGGCCAAGGCGCTGTCATGGAACGCGCGGGGCCACTTGTAGCCAATACGGCGCCGGGAAGGGTAAGAGTTTTGCGGGTTCGTACTTTGGAAGACGTTGCAATACGGTGGCTTCACCGCTCTGAGACGTGAACACTCGTGGAGTTTTCGTCCTATCGTGCGGCAGAATTCGGAGAGACACCGACGCGAGAATGGTACCTTTGGATGCTCGCCCGTGCTTGACCAAAGGATAAGGCAGCACCATTGCGAAAGCGGAGCAACAAGTACCCAAAAGAGCCGCAATTGTGTCCATAATCGTACATTGTCGGTGGAGTTAAGATGGAGAAGTACTGGAGACTACGACGTCATACCTTGAAGACTTTCATAGCAGACTGATAAGTAATGCAAGAGAAAGGTACCTCGAGCGTGCCCTCTGTGCATCTTCCATCTAACTTGAGCCAATACCGTTGGTTCAGTTAGACTTGGGTTGGAACTATTCCTGTCCGAGCGGCGCCGTTTGCGAGTCAGGGGGCCCTGTGCGAACCCTGCGGCAACCTTGAGCCGACCACCGCCGCCCGCCCCCTCGAGAAGCGCCGAGGACACGGGACTTGGCTGGAGACAAAAGGCAGGGTGGTATCGTAACCGCTGAGAGCGCTTGCAGCTGCGGGTTCTGACTCTCAGTTGTCTGCTCGCCCGGCCATTGTGAACTCTCTCTTTGGCTGCTTTGGCAGATTAAGTTGGACCCGTGGTCGTGGGGACAACAGTAGACAGAACCAGGTTTCAAATTGAGAAATACTCGCACGCGATTTGTCAATGTCGGCAGTTGTTGGTAGCCAGGTGCGTCGAGATTGGTGGACCACATGACGTACTGGTTCAGGCTATATTGATTTTCAGAGGATAGACTTTGGATTCTGTTTTATCTTATTCTCCGACTCGTGATTCCCATGGTAATGGTCAACCAGATATTGAACCGAGCACATGTCGTTAGGATGCCAAAAGCTTGACTATGTGCTAAGGAAAAGCACTGCAGGCACAAGCCTTGACAAGACGATTCGCGGGCATTGGCACTATGCCAATACTCTTGTCCGTTGCTTGTCCAATGCCTATCCCTTGGTATTGTGAATCCTCATTTCTTGCGGCCTCCAGTCTCTAAGCACAATTGCGGCTAACTGTGGAGGCTGTTGGAGCTAAAGGTGGAAATCTCAACTCCGATCTATCCATGTACACAAGTATCTCGGGATGACGTCGTCACTGTAGGAGTTTTCTTCTGCTCGGCATTACCCATTTAGGCAATCCGAAGAGGCGCGCCAGGCGCACCACCAGACGAGCCAAGCCCACAGCAAGCCGAATGGAACTTCGCACCAACGCCAATGAAAGGCGACGAAAGGCTTCAAAGGGCCCGGCGAAGACGAACGGAAAAACTGACGGGCCTTTGTATCCTCGTGTCGAGTCCGTTGTTCACCCGCATTCCCGCATGAACTGGAGAAACGGGCCTGTGTGGACGCAAAGACTGCGGTTCGAAAGTCCAGTCAAATTTCCCCCAAACCCCAAAATGAACTGACTCGGGGGCCCGCAAACAAACAAACTGTTGGTTGACATTTGCGCAAAATGGGCAATGCAGCCGATGTTGGACCTCCTTGGCGCAACAATCTTCTGCATCTTTTGCCAGGCATCTGTATGTACGCTGACGTATCGGTAGAAACAGCGGATGATCACTGTTCAGGCTCTTCCTGAGTCTCACACTCAAACTTCTTTTGGAGGCCTTTGACCTCGGTGATAGCATCAACCACGGCACTGAGTAACGCCGATCCTTTTACCAAATACTCGGGTAAACACAGCTGTCAACTGTAGAGGTCCCTGGCAGAACGTGGCTTCCGTGTTATGTTTCAGGCACCTTTGTTGACGTACAAAGCATACGCAGCGTCTATCACTGCAATTTTGACTAGAGATCTTCATCACAGCATATGTTTTTGGGGCAACATGTCGTTAACCGAAGAAGGCAGGACCCTGACTGCGCATTCTCTTTGGCGTCTTGGGACGGATTGTCTGTACTGCTCGTCTCCACACATCGGACGAGTGATGCCTGGCGCATGGGAAAACCGGGGCCTCATATGCGCGTCTGCGATGTATCTCCAATGGCAGAAAGTATGATACGCTGACCAAAAGAGGTAAAAACCACCCACCGGTGGAATCCAACACCGGAGTCTGAGTCTCACGCATCGGGTAAACTCGCGTGTGTTTTGGAACGGAGATTTGGACTAATGGAAACTCCACCACAGGACAGACTGGATGTGTTCGAGACTGCCAATATCCCGGGACAATAAGGAGATCGTCTGTTCCCATCAAGTAAGTAGTATTCGGTTCAATCGATCAAATTGAGTATCAAATTTTGGACATTTTCTGTGTTGTTGAACAAAACACGGGAGGCGGGAGTGCCAAGCCGATAACATCGCCGATTCACCGGCCCGGAAAATTCTGCGCCTTCGGCCCCACACCGAGAAACCAAGTTTCTTGTACTTGGAGTGGATCGAGATCCTGGCAATGACTGCAAAAGAACGCAGAGCCTGTCAGAAGCGAAAGAAGTACCATCGGAGGCAGAGTCCGGCTTGGAGGCAACCCACGGTGGGCTCTTTGGCTGTCGCTGTGAGAAAAAATGGAGACGAGGGGGATAGTTGTTGTTGTTGTTGTATTTAACGCCGTGGCGGCCGGGCTAGAGCCCTTACCGCAGACCTCCCGAAGGGTATATGGCGTGGAGGGCCGTGAGCCAAGGCTACCTACTCTACAGTACGTCGTCTCTTTACATCGTCCTCCAAATCATGCCTTGTGGCCACTACGCGTTCTGTCTGTCCCCGGTTCCCGCTGGTGCCCCAGTTTCATTCTTTCCCAAATCGTCCCTTGGAATCGGGAGGTTCTTTGTAGTCCGCACTCACATCTACGTAGGTGTGGATGCTGCTACCGCAGACAGATCTTCTGGAAGAAGTCCGTCACGCGGAGAAAGGCCTCGAAGCCTCGTGGGTCGGTGATTAATCTCTTGAAGTAGGCCTCGAGAGATCCCATAGGGCCTATGGGCTCGGGCATACTGCGAGAGTGGAGGGTCGGCCACCGTTGCCTCCTCGCCAGCGTTAGTCGACAGTAGACCAGGTGGTCCACGTCTTTCGCCTCTCCACAAGAGCACATCATTAGAGCGTCGTCGTGGTTGAAACGTCGGTGATATTGCTCGAAGTCCCCGTGACCCGATCGTGCCGCCAGCAGGTGATGTAACGTAGCCCGCGGCAAGGCCAGTTCAGGAGGGCTGGACAGAGCTGCCTCAAGCCCCAAGTCCGCGTACCGCGGCCTTCGCTCTTTATACCACCATCTCCTGTGCTGGCTTTGTAATTTTTCCCTTGCAAGCCGCTTGATGCCCGCTAGTGTTGCCATTTGACCCATCCGCGCCGGCAGTGTCGTTCCTTCTTTGGCCAGCCGGTCCGCGGCCTCGTTTCCTTCGATGCCCTGGTGTCCCGGGGACCAGTGCGTCCGTATATCAAATATCCTGGCCGCTTCTTGGATTTCGAGGAACGCGTCTTGTGACGAGTCCGGCGCCTTGCCGCGGATGCCTTGTATAACGCTGGTGTTGTCGATACATATGTGGATTGGATGACCGCGATTGGTGAGCAGAGCCCTTCTGAGGCCGGTTCGCGCCCCTTCGACCTCGGCGTCGAACACTTCTGCTAGTCCGAGTCGGCCGCACCCTTGTGCTATGCGTTTGGAGTCTCGGTAGATGACGAAGCCGTACCCCACGGCTCCGTTCGTCGCCCTGGAGCCGTCCGAGAAGACGATCATATGGCTTTCCGGTACTGTCTTTAGCCAGCGCTCGAAAGCTTTCGCAGCCTCTTCTTTGCATTGAACTACTATCTGATCCTGTGAGCTTGGCAGGTACTGTGATTGAAGGAACGCTGGTCTTCCGCATCTTGGCAGAAGTTCAGCCGTCCGTTGTAGTCTCGTCTGTTGCTGTCCCTGCTGGGAGAGCCGCGCGACTAGCGGGTGTCGGCGATCAATCCTCTGTAGTCGGACTGCGGCCCGTAAGCGGACGCCCTCTAAGGCGACTTTGGCTGACGGTAAGCCGGCGTCTCGGAGGAGGCTACTGGTTGGCGTTGTCCTCCAGACAGGCAGAACGGCCCTTGCTGCCGCTGTAATGACGCTGTCGATCTTCTGCACGAGCCCCTTTTGGCCTGTGTTGACGGGTCTTCCTTGGAGAGGCGGATTCGTGTCTGTCTCCGCTTGGCGTCTCGAAGCCGGCTTCGTGATACCTGCGTACCATGTTTCGGCGCCGAAGAGCGCGATCGGCAGTACGCAGGAGACGACGGCTTTTCGCACGGCGGCCGCTGGGAGTCCCCTCTTTGTGTTCGTAAGCTGTCTCAGATGTTGAGCTGCCCTCTTTGCTGCAGCTACTTTTGCGTCGACATGGTGCCGGAAGGACAGTCTCTTGTCGAACCAGACACCCAGCCAGCGTACAGGTTTCGTCGAGGCCTTGACCACCAAATCCCCCGCCCGGACCTCTGGCAGCTCCGCTGGCTGGCCGTGCTTCCTAGTAAAGTGGATGACCTCGCACTTGCTCGGGTCAAAGGAGACCTTGTTCTCCAAGCCCCATCTGAGAATGCCGGCTGCGCTTCGGTTGAGTATTGCGACGTTGCTCTCCAGGGAGGGGCTGATGGCCAGAGTGGCGATGTCGTCCGCGTACCCGAATCGCGCGTTCGGGTCGTCTTCAAGTATCTCTGCGATGTAGAGCAGAAAGGCAATGGGAGATAGTGGTGACCCCTGAGGCAGCCCGCATGACAGCGGGAAGTACTCCGTTGTGCTTTCTTCCAGTCGGACTCTAGCGGTGCGGTTGCAGCAGAAGCTAAAGATCAGTCTGGTCAGGCCATGTGGCCATCCCTGCTGACGCAGTCTAATGACGAGCCGGTTCCGAAGGACGGAGTCGAACGCCCCTTTTACGTCCATAGTCAGAAGTGTCGCCGTGAGTCCTTTTAGGAGGGCCATCTCGATGTCGTGGGTGAGGCAGGTCGTCAGATCGACGGCTGACCTGCCTTGTAGAGCCCCGATCTGTTGCGGACTGATGATGCGCTCGACAATCGCCAGGGACGCCGTCCTTCTGGCTATCAGTCGCTCTAGTCCCTTGCCCAGGCACGAGAGGAGCGCGATCGGCCGCCAGGACCCGGGCTTGGAGGCATCCCTGCCGGCCTTCTGGATCATGACCACCTCAGCTCTGCGGAAGGGCAGAGGAAAGTGGCCGGCCCGCATACAGGACTGGAATAGCTGCCTGACCGGTTCCGAGATGACATCCCAGCATGCCTGGAGGAGGCGTGTTGTGATGCCGTCCACACCAGGGGTCGTTGTCTTTGTTAAGGTGGCCGTCTTCACTTCTTCTCCGCTAACATTGTCCTGCCAAGTAATCGCTCGCCTCGGGACGACGGGTACGTCAAACGGGTCACCCGGTGCGTCATCTTCCGCACTAAACCTGTCGAGAAGGGCTCCCCGAAGCGCTTGAGCCTTTTCGTTAGTATCCTCGATCGTCTGGTTGTCCACAACCAATGGGGGTGCTCTGGTCAGTAGGCTCGCCTTCCGCCAACCCATGATCTGGTACAGGTCCCGGTCTGAAGCGACTCCATCGATCTTTCCGGCCCAGTATGCTCGCTTAGCCTTCCTCACCGTGCTCAGGAACGCCTTTCGTTTCTCCATTAGATAAAGGTGCGCATCTTGCTCCGTCTCCCAGGCTTGTTGGTTGCGGGCAGCACGGTATGCTCTGTGGGCCTCTGCGCATTCCTCCGTCCACCAAGCCGCGCCTTTACCATGTTTTCCTCTCTTCTTGCCGACCGCCTCAATGGCTCGGGAGAAGAGCTCGACGATGTGACTTGCCTGCCCGTCCAGGTCTTCCGGAGTAGGTTGATCCCCCAGATTGGGCATCGCAGCTAGCCCCCCTTCGATCAGGTCTCTCAGCCGAGGCAGCGCCGAGTCGGGCACTGACAGTGGCCGTGGCTGCGGGTGGCCCTCTCCCTGTGACACTGGGCGTTTGAGTAGTGGTATGACGGCCACGATGGCCTCGTGGTCAGCTCCCGGGTGTAGCTGTGGGCTGACCTGCGCGTGCGCAAAAGGGATATTAGAGAAAGCCAGGTCCAGGACATGTCCGCAATCCTGGGTTGCCACCCCAACTTCGCTGATAAGAGAGAGATTGTGGCCGTCTGCCCAGCCTGCGATGTCATCTCCCCGGTTCCCGTTCCTCGTCCCGGGCTCCCAAGAGTAGTGATGCGCGTTGAAGTCACCCGCGATCAAAGCTCGCTCCGGGGGTTTGAGTTCTAGCAGTATCCCTGTTGTGCGGCTGTGGGGGTCGCGGGGGTTGTCTGTACACGTTGACGATAGTCGTCGTTTTGTCGACCACCAGCCACAGTACGTCTCTCGTGTGGACAGGCCTCTGCTGCTCCACCGTCATCCCTATCCCTTTGCGTGTGTAGGTCAATACTCTTGGTCTGGTTCCTTCGCTGTCCCAGAAGTCGACCGGGACGAAAGAGTCGAAACCCGGGTGCGTGTTCAGTTGCACGTTTCCGTCCTTCCAGCCCGTCCAGGGTTCCTGGACGAGGACCACATCTATCTGAGCCTCCCAGCAGAGCTGCAGGAAAGCCGTGTGCGCCGGGGAGATCTTTCCGACGTTGCCCTGCGCAACGCGTAGCATCCGTGGGGTCGCCGCTCTCGGCTTACGTCTCCGAGTCGAGTTCGAGGTGGGTGTAGGCATTCGCGACGTTGTAGTTTGGCTTCTGTGCTGCCCGTTGGCTCCTGCTTGGCATGGGTAGCACGGGACGGTCGATGGAGGTGTTGTCGGGGGAGTCTTCGCCTTCGCCTTCGTCCGCCTCGTCTTCATCCATGCTGCTGCTGTCAGTGCTTCCGTCACCGAGGCAAACGATCGAGCTTGCGGAGGGCGTTCTCGTGCGCGCGCGCTTGGCGCCGGGTTGCTGGTTCTGGCTGGTGGAGGTAGGGACGCCTGCCGCCTCCTGGCTACTGTCGGATCGAGTAGCCTTGTACAGAGTGTCCGATGCTTTCTGGCCGGCCTTCCGGATCCGAGCCCGCTCCTTTCGACCGGGAAGGGAGACGACGCCGTTTACGGCCGAGGGCCTCGCTGGGCAGTCTGTGTGGCTGGCTTGGAAGGGGCCGCAGCAGTTGGCACATTGGGGCCTGGCCATGCAGGGTCCCGTTTCGTGTGAATCGGAAGGTCTTCCGCAGTTTGCTGCAGATCGGTCGTCGTCCGCAGAACCGGTTGGAGTGGTAGCCCTGGCAGCCGGGGTCGTGTCGGATGAGCGTCCTTCGTT